CTAAAAAAAGGTAGGCTCCTTAGGGTCCAGGAAACCCCCAAACCCCAAACCCTAAAACCCTCAACCCCAAAGCCCCGAATGGTTGCCCACATAATGTTGCTCACGTCGTGCTGGGAGTGGATCCAGCCGTGCGCCACTTGCTCGTGCGTCCAGGAGCAGCCGTCTACGAAAACCACTTGGAGGTTCATGGGCAGCTATAAGTAGGGTTTTTAAGTAGGATAACTCTAGTTATAACCCCTTCTTAGGGGACTTCGAACCCTACTTAAAACTACCCATGAACCCTAAACCCTATACATCCCTATAGATCCCTTTAAAGGACCCCTATAAATCCTACTTATAAACTGCCCATGAACCTTCAAGTAGGGCCTGCACACGAGCCCTGGGCCGCTTCAACATTTGGGGACGGCAAACCAACCTCTCCAGGTCGTCATCCCTTTACAGGGATCTATAGACATTCTATAAGGGTTCCTTTAAAGGGATCCTAAAGGGTTCCTTTAAAGGGATCTATAGGGATTCGAAGCATGTTGCTGCCTGCTAAATTCTAAACCCCCAAACCCCCTAAACCCGAAACCCCCAAAACCTTAAACCCCTAAACCCTAAGCTCTTAAGCCCCTAAACCCCTACACCCCTAAATTCTAAGCCCTAAACCCCTAAACCCGATCACGTACACCAAGCCTAGCCTGTCCATGGCCACCTCGAGACAGGCCAAAAAGGTGACTCGTGAGCAGCTCGAAACCGAAAGAGCAGGATGGTGGAGGCCCTGGCTTCCTTGTTGAATGAACCCTAAACCGATAAAGGAACCCTTTAGGATCCCTATAGATCCCTTTAAAGGAACCTTTAAAAACCCTTTAATATTTAAAGGAACCCTTATCGAATCCCTATAGATGCCTGTAAAGGAACCTCTAAACCCTATACCCTTATAGAATCCCTATACATCCCTTTAAAGGAAGCCTTTAGGATCTCTTTAAAGGAACCCTTATGGCTTCCTTTTTGAATGAACCCTAAACCCTACCTGTAGCCGAAAAGACCTACCTTTTTAGGGTTCCTTATTATGGTCTGTATATAGTTCCTTAAAAAGGTAGGTCTTTTCGGCTACAGGTATACCCTTATAGAACCCCTATAGATCCCTTTAAAGGAACCCTTTAGGATCCCTTTAAAGGAACCCTTATAGAATCCCTATTTTCCCCTTTAAAGGAAGTTTTAGGATCCCTTTAAAGGAACCCTTATAGAATCCCTATAGATCCCTTTAAAGGAACCTATAAACCCCCCCCCCCCTGGAGCCCCGGAAGCTTCCTAAACCCAGGTCTTGGGTCGAGGCTCAGGCTTCGGGTCGGGAGGGTTTAGGGCTTAGGGCTTTAGGGTTTAGGGGTTTAGGGTTTAGGGTTTAGGGGTTTAGGGTTTAGGGTTTAGGGTTTAGGGTTTAGGGTTTAGGGTTTAGGGTTTAGGGTTTAGGGCTTAGGGTTTAGGGTTTAGGGTTTAGGGTTTAGGGTTTAGGGTTTAGGGTTTAGGGTCCTTAACCTACCAAAACCTATTTTTTGTAGGGCCCCTATAGTTTCCATATTAGGGTTTAGAATAAGGATCTCCAAAAAAGTAGGGTTTGGTAGTTTAAGGTAGTGTAGGAACCTGATTTAAAAAAACCCTGGGGGCCCTTATTAAAGGGGTCTATAAGGGTTACTATAAGGGATCTATAAGGGTACTATAAGGGTTACTATAAGGGATCTATAAGGGTACTATAATAATGTAGGAGGGTTTATGGTTTAGGAGGCCTGACGGGCGATTTCGGAGGTAAGAAACCGAGGGTTCACCTAGGCCCATCGGGATCCCTGCGGCAATGGGATATATTAGCTATCTTAAGGTTGTATAACTAGGGGGTTCTTATTGAGGGTCCCTCCTTTTTGTCGTTGGCTACCACCCTTCCATGTCTAGGGGTTTTTCGGGGATAGAGCTTAGATTCTAGGGCTTAGGGCTCAAGGTGTAGGGGTTTTGAGGTTCAAGCTTTGGGCTTGGGCTTAAGGTCTTCGGATTTAGGTTCAGGGGTTTTGGGCTTCGGGTGTATGGCTTGAGGATTGGGTTCTGCCAATTTCAAGCTTTTCTTGCGCCCCTCCCAACTGTACAGTACCAGTATGAGGCCGGCATTACGACATATAACACCAAAAGATATGACTACGGTTGATGATATGAATCCTGCATTACCCATAATAAGGAATAGACCATAATTCCCGGAGTTTAGGGTCCTTAAGGTGATGGAGGATTTATATCATCAGCTGTATTGCGAGGATTGCTCCAAATTCTGCGTGCATCCTCGCTCAAACCGCGGGTCTGAGACCCTACACAATTTGGGAGTTTCCGAAAGTTAGGGGTACCTTATTTGGGGGTCCTTAGAATAAGGATCCTACTATTTAGGGTACTATGTAAGGGTCCCCTATTTTGGGAAACTCCTATTTCCATTAACCCTCAACCTCTCTACCCGAAACCCTCACTCAACTCGGGCCCTGTACCCCCGAACGCTCTCAGATCCCCATGGGGCCCGAGCGCGTCGGGTGTTTCAAGCTTCTTCACGTTCACGGCCTCCAGTCGTACCGTTTCGGGGGGTGGTTTAGGGCTTAGGGGTCTTAGGGCTGCTTTTTGCTTAGGGGTTTTAGGGTTTAGGGGTTTCTTGGTTTAGGGTTTAGGGTTTAGGGGTTTCTTGGTTCAGGGTTTAAGGTTTAGGGGTTTCAGAATTTAGGGTTTGGGGAAGAATTGGAACAATGTGTTACGGTATAGCACACTGTAGCGTCGACTGCTTCAATACCTGGGCCTGAAAAAATGAAACTGACTAAGTCATTATAGAGTCCTTAACGGAGGGTGGTGTACAAGGGATCCTTAGAGGAAACCTCAAGAGAACCTTAAGGAGGATACTATAAGACGAAGATAGACCAAACATATCAGGACAAAAATATAAATTTCTCACATTGGCGATCTAAGAAGTCGTATCGCAGGGGCGCTAATGGTTGGAGGAGTGTGCCGGGACATGCTGCAGAGAGGAATGAGGAATGCCTACTGTTGATGATATAAATCCTGCATGACCTTAAGGACCCTAAACTATGGGAATTATGGTATATTCCTTATTATGGGTAATGCAGGATTTATATCATCAACCGTAGGAATAGACTCAGTACCTATTCAAGCTTCGATATCTACTGCAGTTGTTTGCTCTTTCTGACCTTCGGTCTGAGGGTGCCCTTCAGCAACACTCCCAAACTATACAGCTGCTGCCATAGCAAGAATACCAATACGAGTACTAATGCAACTAATAATGCCGGCACTAGCACTCGTACTAGTGCACATCCGGTGCTCATACAAACTCTGCAAATAGTAATAACACTCTCTGATCCGAACCGAGTACTAAGACTAGCACGATACACCTAAAACATGCTGTTGCTGCTGCTGCTGCTGCTGCTACGACGGCCAAAACCGAATGCCACCAAGGGCTTAGACGCGCGCAGTGCACCTATAGTTGTCACGCTTAAACATCACCGAGACCCTAAACCCTAAACCCTGAACCACCGAGACCTTACGAGTTTCTTTTGCGACTTAGTGCCTCAGGTTTGTGGGGTATGACCCTGGATGAAGATGTCGTAGAGCCGTCAGGCTACTACACCCAACATCTTGCCGAAAGCCTGGCTCCAGCAAACCCTAAACCCTAAACCCTGAACCCTGAACCCTAAACCCTAAACCCTGAACCCTGAACCCTGAACCCTAAACACTAAACCCTAAACCCTGAACCCTGAACCCTAAACCCTAAACCCTGAACCCTGAACCCTTAACCCTTAACCCTAAACACTAAACCCTAAACCCTGAACCCTGAACCCCGAACCCTAAACCCTGAACCATAAACCCCAAACCCCGAACCTGCAAGAAAGCTGCAGGAGCCTGATTATGAGGAGCCTCTTTCTCACTGGCACCTTAGGAACCCTAAATCCCAAAGCACCCCAAGCCCCGCCCTTCAGCCGCAGCGCTTCAAAATGTCACACCCTGAATTGAAATATGTGATTCATAGCTTTCTGCACAATATACGTATATATATATATATACATATGTTTGTATGTATATACACGTACATATACATATACCTATACATATACATATATATATATATACACACCCGGTATGCTATACACTACATAGCATATGCTGTATTGCTATATACTAGGAAGAAGCCACTAAAGACACTTCGAGGCTCCAGCCTTCAGTAAACCCTCCTCGTGGCAGAGAGGGGGGGGGGGGGGGTTCAGCGTTTACGGCTCCGAGATTTACGATTTTTGCGGTTTTGGGGTTTGGGGTTTAGGGTTCGGGGTTTTGGGCTTCAACTTTAGGGTTTTGGGTTTGGGATTTGAAATTTGTTTTTTTTTGCGGGCCCTTTTCCGACTGCATGTTCCAGTAGGTTTTGAGTTTGGGGTTTAGGGTTTGGGGCGCAGGGTTTCGGGTTGAGGGTTTGGGGTTGAGGGTTGAGGGTTCAGGGCTTGGGGATTTGGGCTTGGGGTTTTGGGTTTGGGGATTTCGGCTTGGGGTTAGGGGACGACAGCGACCACGACGATAGCGACAGCGACAGACCACCGCGTCAGCCTCAACACCACCAACATGAACCTCATTGGCATCACCATGGGATCACCATCGCCGCCACTGTTGGCAATGAAACTGCAATCATCACAACCATCACCAGGAGGCTCAAGCAAGTCCAAGGTTCAAAGGTGGTACCACTTGCATAGCAAGTTGGCCGGAGGTATTGCTGCCGCCACCTACAACAATTAATTACCAAACGGTAGAACAAGGGTAATCACGAGTACTGACAGAGAAAATGCTTACTTTCATGTTGCTGTTGGCGCGGTTCTTCCTGATGTGTGCTCTTTGGTTGCCAGTGCGGCCACTGCCGCCACAACTGAGAGGCCGCAGGTGGCACAACTTAAGCTTTTGTTAACCCCCAGCCCCAACCGCCTAAGCCTCTAAAAGCCCTCACCTGGTCAGGCCCTTTCTGCTGGATCCGCAAGCACCTCCTCAATGCGCAGCTGCTTGTTCACACGAACGAAGCAGCATTGGGTAAGAGTCATACCGGTTGATATCTCCACCACACGCTCCTCACCTTGCAAGAATGCAGCTGTAGCATTCAGAATCCTTTGCGCGACCTTCAAGAGCTCTGCCGTCTCCACCAGCACATCGGAGTCATAGCATGGCGCAGACTCAAGCACCGCTTGCAAGATTTGATCCTGAAATGTGGTGATACCGATCACACGCGACCACAGATCATAAGCCACAAGGTCTTCGTTTGGTTGTGGTGCGACGACCCGATCCATCAGGGGCACCTCAGCGTCGTATTCAATCGGAATAACTCGCTTCCCTGCGAGATTCAATGAGCTATCCTTCTGCTCCGACGTGGCTGCCACTGCCACCAATCCTTCACTGTTCTTGAAGCCCGTTTACGAGTCTTGAGTCTTACACCTTCTGCTTTCTATGAGAAAAAGGTAAAAGCCAGAAAGTTGGAGTATGATTATCCCAAACCCTTTATGGTAAATTACAAGGTATCCTATCCTGAAACCATATTCCAACTTTCTGGAGTTCCCTCAAGAGGCAGACTACCAAACATCGACTCCAAGAGCCTAGATTCGCGTGTCACCACGAACAAGCAGGCTATGCAGCAGCACCCACTGCTTCTCACTCCAAGGGAACAGAGCCATGGGAGTCAGCGGCCAATGCTCCGGCAAGAGTCGAGTGCATGGCCGTGCCCAGAAGGCACCGAACACCGGTGTCATCGTGATCACCTAGGGCTTCGACGGTCTAAACGATTTAGCCTGGAGGGGTTGGTGTTTGGGATTTAGGGCTCGCAGGTTAGGGTTGCGGTTTCTGGGTCTCCGACTGCAGGCCTTGAGAAGCCCTGATTCCGATCCTACCATTCTTGGAATCTGCTAATCGCTGGGTTCCTGTAGTAGTACTGCAGTTTACGTGGCTCACTCAAAATCCACGGAAGGGTAGGCACATGAACCTACATTTTTCAAGTTATGTTTCGGAGTTTTTGGAAAAGGTTCACCTCTGGACGGCATGGGATAGTGCGCCAAACGAGGGTGGAAGATTATTCGCTCTCTAAACCCAAAGCCCCAAACCTGCAAACCCCTACTACACCCATTGACTCTCCCCGGACCCCCAACCCCAAAACACCCAAACCCCTCTAAACCCCAAAACTCCTATTCTCCCAAACCCGGAAACGCATAAACTCTGAACCGTGAACAGTCTACTATAGGGGCCTTAATGATTAGAATCGGGTTTTGGTGTATAAATAGTATAGGTCATTATGAAGGCCTCTATATGGGTAGTTGTCAAAATTAAGGTCCCTTTTTGGGTACCCTAAATAATAGGTGCCGTATTATAATAGGTGCAAAAAGGGACCATAACTTTGACAACCACCCACATTTTTCTGAGTCACTACGGGCAGCCAGAGCCTCCAGGAAACGATCACACCTGTGACGGAACTCGGCGCGGAAGACACTGCGAAGGACAAGCCATAAACATAGCCTGGGTTTAGGGCTTAGGGTTTGTGGGTTAGGGTTTAGGGTTTAGGATGGCACTTTAAACTAGAGCATAAAAGCTTAAAGGTTTAGAGACCGGGTAATGCACAAGTATTGGTCAAAAGGTGTCTCGATAGGACCATAAGGGAAACTAAGAACCGTCCCAACGGTCCACCTAGTACTTGGAGGGAGAACCATTAATCTATAATAGGAATTACATAACCCCCAAACCCTAAACCCTAAACCTCCGAGTAGCTGGCAGCGCAGGGGAGGAAGAAGGCACCGATGGCACCCGATTGCAAGGCACCGATCGCCAAGTGGAGAAAGATCCTCGATGGCTCCGCAAGAGGCTAAAAGGTTTAGGGCTTCGGGTTTAGGGTTTAGGGTTTTGGAGGACACTAAACATACACGGTGCAATGAAGAATTCGCGAGCACAACAAGAAGTTCTGAAGATAGCACAAGCAGCATGCCACCGCCTACGAAAAGCCTGTAGCTGGCTTCGGCATTGGGAGACCCTGCCGTGAGCGCGGGAACCACCAAGCACAATGGTGCCAGAAAGCACTCGAAGGCCAGCGTCGCGAAAGCGCAAGAGTTCAGCGCCCAGCGCTTCCTGAGGGTCGTCCATCCAGCTGAAACGCGCATGCGCAAACCTACAGGTTTGTATGCCCTGACCACCGTAATGCACTATTAGGATGATGATGATGACGATGATGATGATGTCTGATAATGATGATGAAAAGGAGGAGCAGGAGAAGCAGGAGGAGGAGGACGGTGGCGACGAGGATGATGGACATGGCGACAATAGTGATAATGGAGGTGATGGTGGCGATGGTGGCGATGGTGCTGATGGTGCTGATGGTGCTGATGGTGCTGATGTCGGTGATGGTGAACATGGTGATGCAGTGCTGACGATGCTGACAGTTATGGGTTTTGGTTGATGACTGGTGTCACCACCATGACCACTTTTATCGTCAATTTCATCAGCGTCGGCGCCGTCACAATCAATCAGAATCACAATCATCACCATCAATACGTTACCATCATGACGGAGGCCCTGAAATCACACCGCAAACCTCTTGGAGCACAGCCCCTACCTCAAGCCATGACCCAAAGACATGTTCGAACTCTGAAAAGCTCTAAACTCCCTGAGCCCACGTGACTTCAAACCCTGAACCATGTGTCGATGTTAAAAGTCCCCGAAATTAGTTATCATTAGGGCTCCGTGAGAAAATAAGAGACATTAAAAGTTATCAAAGATCGGCACGTAGTAAACCCACAATGCCAAACCCCAAACATCGTGGAACTCCCGAAAGTTCCGCGCAATCTTCAGTCGTCAAGGCTCGAAGTCCTGAAACGACACTTTAGTAAATCCAGGGCTTGTCTAGGATCTAAGGTTTAGGACCTTCAATAGACAGAATGAGGCATGACCTGAAAACCATCCACCGCTAAACCCTAAACCCCTACGACACCCCTAAACCCCCGAACCCTAAACCCTAAACCCCTAAACCCCAAACCCTAAAACCGCCCTAAACCCTAAAACTCGAAACTCTTCACCCTAACCCACCATGCAGCCCCAGGCTCAGACCACTCAGTGAGGTGTTTTGAGGTCTCGCCGAGGCACCCGCCAAGAGCGGGGTGCTCAAAACGAGGCTGCGGGTGAGGACCCCGAGCCTTAAGAACTACCAGAGCTTCGGGTTTAGAGTGTAGGGTTTAGGGCTTAGGGTTCAGGGCCTGGGGCTTAGGGTTTAGGGTTTGGGGTGTAGGGTTTAGGTCCTAGGGTTTAGGGCTTAGGGTTTAGGGCTTAAGGGTCAAGGTTTTGGATTCATTCAGGCTAAGGGTTTAATGTTTATTTAAGGTTTAGGGCCGTTTAGGGTTTACGTTTGAGGAGGGTTTAGGACATGATGGCTAAGCGTTGAAGGTGTTCTAGGGTTTGGCACCCAAAGCTTGGGGGAACACAACAACTCCAACCACTCCAATTAAGATATATGTCGGAAATCACAGGGAACTCGAATAAGAAACCTTCAACCCTGAATCCGACAAGAACCCTAAAACCCTAAACCCTGAATCCGAAAAGAGCCCTAAAACCTTAAACCCTGAACCCGAAAAGAATCCTTCAAAGACACCCGCAGGCTGCTTCCAAGCTACACAGGGCCTCCCCCCTTCGGTGTCTTTCGTGAGAAAGTCTCAAGGATGGCATTCAAAGTGTCACCGAAGGCCCAGGCTCGGAATCCCTGCTTTGTGGCTTTGGATGTAAAATGCAGGAGCCTTAATAACTAGAATGGGGTTTTGGCGCCATTATGCCGTAATTGTAATAAGGAACCTCCAAAATACGGTTGATGATACAAATCCCGCATCACCTTAAGGACCCTAAACCATGGGAATTATGGTATACTCAATGTTATGGGTAATACAGGATTCATATCATCAACCGTAGTACTGGTAATTATTTAGGCCCCTAAAGTAGGGTGTCGGTGTTTAGGATGTACGGAGCCGAGGGATTCTTGGGGTTTAGGGCTTTCGGTGTTTAGGGTGTAGGGCTTAAGGTCCAGGCTTTTGTAGGTTTGGGGCATATATATATATATATATATATATATATATATATATTTTTTTTTTTTTTGGGGGGGGGTAAGGGTTTACTAAACCCTAAACCGTTTAGGGTTTTGCGGTTAAGGGGTTGAGGTCCTGCATCAGCCGGGGCATACAATGGTCGTTCTCGGCCACAGCACCGGCCACCACCACCTTGGATACCCCACAGCTAAAGATGTACCAGATGCAGAAGCCCAATGCCAGAGCTTGAGCCACCTCGTCCACTCCAGAAGGAAACACAAGGGAATTGACCCATCCACACAGAGCCAAAACCCAGCAGTTGTACAGCATCAGATAGTCTCGGTGGCTACTGGTTCTCGAGGAGTCACCGAGATGGAAGATAGTAACTGCGAGCGCCACCAGTGACCGAGAGAGAGCCACCACCACTGGAAGGTGAAGAAGCCATTTCTCCACGACAAACGCTTGGAAAAACATGTAGGGAACGATGCTGTACGCTGCCGGCCGATAGACGCTTGAACGGAGTAGCATCAAAAACCAGCTTTTTGGCATCCAAGACGGTCGCAATGCTGTGTTGGATAGCTTCTCACCGAGCCGAAGAAAGTCCACACCACTTCCAACAAACACCGCGATCCAGAGGAGCAACAGGGTCGCAGCCTGCACCAAGACTCCAGTATCCCTTATGGCTAAATGCCCCGCGCTAAACCACCAAAAACTGCTTTTTGGGATATCCAGTAGCTGAAGAGATGTTACAACTCAAGGGTCCGAACTTGAAAGCTTATGGCCTTTAGTGCCTCCAGGCCTAGCACAGGCCTGAAAGGCTAGGTTTTTTGAGTAGCCCCTTTATCATAAGGGTCCCTTTTCCCGACTATTCGGCTTTAGTACAAGCAAGAAGGGTACTACCCAGGAACCTAGAAGAAGAACATCTATGATCAGCAAGATCTTCCCTTCATATTTCAGCCGTTTTGCCAAAGACCCCAAGCCCAAATTCCCCATTCTGGCGCTAAGACTCCGCAGTGGGTCTCAGGCCTTAGGCTTAGAAGACGCGGAACCAAGACAGACTTCATATGCCACTCCTATGCCAAGCAACTTACACCCTGAGCCAAAGCACCAAATCCAATTCCCGAACATCATCCCCAAAAAATCAAGCCCAAGGCCCCGCCCTAAATCTTAAAGCCCGCACACGGAACTCCAAAGCCAAAACCCTGAAACCCGAAGCCCTACACGTTAAGACCAAGGCTCTCGCAGAGCCCGTCTAAGGTTTAGGGCTTTGGGTTTAGAGTTTAAGGTTTGGGACATAACAGGCCCTGTTATTTGATAATTGAAGCCAAATCCCTAAGCTTAGGGGCTTAGACTCGAGATGTTTAGGCTTCGGGTTCTAGGGTGTGCATCAGCTTCTTGTTAAGAGTTTAATGACAAGGGGTTAGGGCTCAGGGTGCGAATCCCTGGACCCTAATAGCATATAAAAGTTAGCAACAATGATGACAATACGAAGAAAAGCACCAAAAAAGATCCAAATCTAGCAAGAATGTAAGGCAATAGTGATGACAGTAACAATACGATCAAAGACTAAACTCCCGAAACCCTACACCTAGGTCCCGGAGGTTTGGTTGGGGGTTTGGGGGGAGGGGGGTCGGGGTTTGCGGACTTCTACCTTAGCCTTTAGACCCATCTTTTTGTCTGGAGGAGTTCAAATCTTGACTACATGGAAGCCTGAATAATGAGATTGGCGTGTTGAATACTCGAAACAGATTTTGGGTGGGCAACGTAAGGAATAATCGCTTCCCGTGACTGAAGACCCCGTGTTCTGGATTGGGGCTTCGGCCTGCAATTCATAGAACGTAGCAGCTGGTGACAACATGGACATGGCGTCCAGAGCAGGAAGAATGCCCTGATGTGTATGGCTCTCTGAACACAGGAAGCCCGGAACCAACCCTGAGCCTAAGCCCCTGAACCCTACACCCTTGAGACGCAAGCCTCAAACCCAAAAACTGCCGAATAACCCAGCATGTGAGTGAGATTGTCGCTGAATCTCTGGGCCAAGGAAATTCCACATCCAATCGTTTGGCAAGCTTACGGCTTATTTAGGCCTCAGGGCTTAGGGTTGAGGCGCTTAAGGTCAGAGATGGGAGTTCCCGCTTCGAGTCTTTAATTCTTTTGGAGGCGATCTACCCCAAATCCCTGACTCAACCCCCACCCCAAAACCCTAAACTAGAAGGATCAAGAGCACATGGGGCGCATAGCACAGGGCACGTGGAATTCCATACCACGGAAATTGAAGATCAGAGGCAGGGTTCTGGGCTTTAGGGTTTAGGGCTTTAGGGCTTTAGGGCTTTAGGGTTCAGGGCTTTAGGGTTTAGGATTTTGGGCTTGGATGTCGAAGGTGTTCGCTGGAGGGTGTTCGGGATAAGAACTGGTGATTACTGCACCCCCCTTAGAACCATAATACAAATACCTTGTTTAATATTCTCTTGGGCTGTGTATGAACAAAATTAAAGAACAATTCCTAAGGAGTCTATAGATTAAGTGTTTAGCGCTGGCAGATTGTCACAAGGGTTTACACCCCTAGGGTCTTGGAGTTCCAGGGTTTGGGCTCAAACCCTGAACTAGGCCCTCAAACCGAATAGACGTGACGATCAGTATCTGCAACAGGTAGCAGAAGAGCCAATGCATGTAGCATACGCAGTACAACTGAGGCAACAGCCCTAGCAGTGTTGAAGCACTAACCGCTACCACAAAGCACAAAACTATTGATGAGACCAACATACGTGCAAAAAGCAGCAGCAAGGCACAAGATTAAGCATTGTGTGAATTGCCTTTCTCCTGAAGACCCCTTGGTTCAACCACTCAAGCCCCATGAATCAATGCGAGTTGCGCAATATGCACTTAATTACGTATGTACATACTTACATGTGTACATGCACAAGTACATACATGCCTAATTACTTGCTTACATCCTTACATTACTCAGCTGTTTGAAGCGAAGAGGTACCAGCCCGCGTAAGGCCAACGTAAAGCCAGTATACATCTAATAACAGCCAGACAAGCCGATACCGCTATATTCTACTTACACACTATCCTGACTGTGCATACACACAGGCATGATAAATGTATGTGTATATATATATACACACACATCTACACGGACACTTCCAGATCTACTAGTCTACATCGACACGTAAACATACACATACGTACCAGTACACATACGCATACAGACACGTATACAGATGCAAACCCATGTGTATGTGTATATATATATGTACACATATGTGCATGTGTGTAATTGTAAGTATACATCGTTATACTCATTTCCATATTTTCTTTGCTTGTTCACGTACTTGTTCACTTGGTTGTATATCTGTATACAAATACGTCAGTAAAAAAGTCTATGCATGTATGCATGTGTATATACGTAGACTCAATTATCAATGTTTAGTTTATCTGTGTGTATATATATATGTGTGTGTGTATTTATCTGAATATATTTTATGAAAATATAGAGAGTACCCCACATCAGCAGGTCCTCCTCCATGATATTGAAGGAGAGCATGAGGCCCTCGTGGTAAGTCTCGTCCTTCGAAGTCGCAGCGGGTGGTTTGCCCAGGATACCGGAGGGTTCAGGGCGTAGGGTTCAGGGTATGGTGTACTTAAAGGACCATCCGACTTAGTAAGTATGGTAATAAGTACCTTAATTGGGTTTATAAGTAATTATAAGTGTACTTACCCTAGTAATAACCCCAGTTACTAAGTCCCATGATCCTCCAAGTAGGGTTTAGGGGTTTAGAGCATAGGCTTCAGGGTACAAGGCTTAGGCTTCAGGCCTTATGGTCTAGGGTGATGATCATGCTTTTCTACAACATCTTTCGGTATTCTAGATACTCGTCTTGTTCGTTTGTGTTTTTGCAGGTATCACTGCAGCTCTTGTACAACTGAGGTTCCAAGCGTCTTCACACAGTCTCTGCTTTGCTGCTAGAATGGTAGGAGCTGTCAGGGGGTATTTACAAGCTTACAGGGTAAAGTTTAGGGGATTGGGGCTCGGTGCGCAGGTTTTGGAATTTTGGAATGCAGAGGCTGGGCCGTGACATCGCGGTGCATACACCGAATGATTGGCAGCATGCCGGTTTCGGATGCAGTGGCTTTGGGGGTTCGCTGTTGAGTCCATAGTCGGGGAAGACTGTCTCGAGTCCGGAAACCCTGACGACTACAGAACCTTGAAGCCCTAAATCTGAGTCCTAAAGGAATTAATTCGTTACGTCATCATGCCTCCACAGTCCCCTATGGAAATCGATGACTTTCGCAAGAATTCCGAACAAAAGTGCACCGTAATGAATGGAAGCCGGACGCCATACCTATGCTGGGTGCATCTTGCTGAATGCAACCTAGCCCTAGCGCCTGATCGACGGGCCTGAGCGATTGATCGTAGTAGTACTGTGGACCAAAAATCGAACTTGGGACCAATAACGATAACCCAAATGTACGGAAACTCCGCAACTGTAGTCTAATTGCCCAGGCATCTACTCTACATCCTACGAAAGCTTAAAAAAGCCGAGGGTCATCTGTGTTGACAATGACATCGCACACACAGGTGAGGCTGGCGATGAGGCCCCACGACTGGCGTCAGGAAATGATGTGAAGTAGCTTCGTCTTGGTTGTAGCATACGGGTGGTTGTCAAAGTTATGGTCCCGTTTTGGGTACCCTAATTATTAGGTGCCGCAGTATAATAAGGACCCAAAAAGGGACCCTAATTTTGACAACCACCCAAAAGGCTTCATGCGGCTGTATCCGGGGTTATAGCATGTTGTAGGGGATTAGGGAACCTAACCACCTGAAGCACTCATCCCTAACTCCTGCCCTTTAAGCTGTTAAGCTCAAATCTCACACCTTAGAGCCCTAAACCCTGAACGCTGTGGAGTCCTGCAGCGGTCCGGTGCAGTGAGAGCTTTTTGCGCTGGGCCAACGCTTAGGTTTAGGGCTCAGCTTTGGGTTTAGGGCTCAGCTTTGGGTTTAGGGCTCAGCTTTGGGTTGAGGGGTTTAGGGTATAGGGTATAGCGGTTTAGGGCTTAGGGCTTAAAAGGCTTAGGGGTTTAGGGTTTAGGGCTAAAGGCCCAAAGCACCCAAAAGACCTCGGTTAAGGAGTCTACCTCAGGCCTAGCAGATAGGTTCTGGAACCGAAGTTCCGGTACGTTCCACAATTACCGGCTGTTAGGATTCAATGCCAGGCTGTACTTCTTGGGTTTGAGTATGGTTTCAAGTTTAGGGACGGGGGGTTTGGGCTGAGGGTTTAGGGTGTCCTAAGCCTGGAAGCAACTGAAGATGCTCGGAAAATGATCGCATCTAAGTCCAAATAACTTAGCCTACACGATGCCGCAAAACCCTAAACTTGAGTGCCTGAAACCCGAGACCCTAAACCCCGAACCCTAGTGATCCTAATCAGCCTACCGAAAACAGTCTCCCTCGGCCGCCACCGCACCCAAAGAAATCTGACCCAAAGTCTTCCTAACCCAGAACTTTTTGGGTTTAGGAGCGCCCTCGAAAGCCCAAAATCATACACCCCGAAAAGAGCCCAAGCCCAAATTCTACATTTTACCCCCGGAATCGTTGACGCCAGAAACTCAGAAACCGCCACCGAGCTGAAACTCTAAACAAAGCTAAAGGACTCTAGAGCCCCCACGGCCCAGATCCCAAGAACCCTAAAAACCCCCAGACCCGAATCCTTCTCAACTCTAGAAGCAATCTAGCTGCCCAAGAAGCCCTTGAGGCTCAAAATGCCCCAAAAGCCCTGTATAGTATGGTCTTTGGGCCAAAAGCCTTAATTTATGAGCCCTTAGAGCCTTAGGGAAATAGCTGCTTCAGCATCTACGCTCCCAGACCAAGGTTTCTGAAGTTACATGTTGGTGCGCAAAACACAGACACAGATATTTTTCTGCTAAGAAAATAGCTACAGCAAATTCTGAATCTGAATTGTTTTTGGTGGGAGAAACCCTGAACCCTGAACAAAACCCCAAACCCCCCAAAACCCCCAACAACCCAACAGCCTAAACTTTAAACTCTAAACCCTAAACCCCAAAACCCAAAACCCCAAAAACCAAAACCCTAAACCCCCCAAAACCCCCAACAACCCAACAGCCTAAACTTTAAACTCTAAACCCTAAACCCCAAAACCCAAAACCCCAAAACCCAAAACCCTAAACCCTAAACCCCCCAAAACCCCCAACAACCCTAAAGCGTCCATTGTTCGAGGCCTCGCCGGGAGCATCGCCTTGGTGCCATCGGCGCAGGCAGCCAACCAGGGCGTTCCTTGAGTACGCCAGCCTAGCGGTTTAGGGTCTACTTGGAGGTTTAGTGGTAGTTATAGGTAGGGTTTATAGGGGGTCCTTTAAAGAGTTTTCTATAAGGGCATAAGGTTTAGGTTTCATGGGTAAGTTATAAGTGGGGCTTAGCCTGGCGGTGTCTAGGGTCCTCAGAGAGCCCAATACCCCTTACTTAAGAAATACCTAGGGTTCCTTTAAAGGATCTATAAGGGATCTGTAGGCTGTCGGTTTGCCAAGGGTAAAAGGAGGGACCCTTAATGAGGTCCCCTAGGTATACCCTCAATATAGCTGTTATATACCCAGTTTTGGCCCATTACAGGGTAGGGGCATGGGTAGTTATAAGTGGGGTTTATAGGGGTCCTTTAAAGGGATCTATAGGGATTCTATAAGGGTATAAGTTATGTTTCGGTTTAGGGTCCCCAGAGAGCCCAATACCCTTTAATTAAGGAATACCTAAAGTTCCTTTAAGGGATCTATAAGGGATCCAAAGCCTGGTTTTGGGGATTCTAATACCCCTTAATTAAGGCATATGGCTCAAATCATTAGGGGCTTCATATTTTGGTTTAAGCTATATTCCTTAATTAAAGGATATTGGGCTGTCTGGGTTTGGGGTCACAGGGCGCAGTGCGGGTTTAGGGTCTTAAACTTAAGATTTAGGGTGGCGCTTTGGGGAGATGGGGTTCAGGGCTTAGGGTTTAGGGTTTAGGGTTTAGGGTTTAGGGTTTAGGGTGCTTCGGGATGGGCCTTACGTCTTAATTAGGATTCAAGATCCAGTTGGTTCAGGGTTCTGTTTTCCTGGGAATGGAGGCGCTACAAATCAAATGAGCATGATCTTGATCAGAGTTAATGTAGACGCTTAATTAGTAAACCCGCGTACCCTCAAGTGGGTTATAGCAGGGATCCTGTTACCCAGGCGCTTGAAGAAGGCCAGCATATTCAGTCAGACGTCTACATTACCATGATCTCCACAAAAAAATGAGACCCTTTAAGAAACAGAGTTGACTAATCAGAGGTCCATCTTACGATGATGTTGCAAGGGCGATCTTAACCCTAAAGCTTAAACCCTGCAAGCCCGAAGCCCAAACGGAGTTTTGGGTTTAGGGGTAAGACCGCTGAGGGCTTCAAGCTGAAGAGCTGGGAGTTGCTGGCTAGAGCCTCTAATGCGGAGGCCTAATTACCAATACTATTTTGGGAGTTCCTTATTATATTTATAGTATGATGGGCCCCAAAACCCTATTCTAATCATTAAGACCCCTATATTAACTCGCCCATGATGACAATAAGAACAGTAAGAAGATCAGAAGCAAGGGCAAGTGGGAAGTAGCAAGAAGTAAGAAGTAATACTTGCAGTGACTGCAGTAGTACTACTACAACAGCTTGGTTCATACTCATGATATACTAGGCAGGCCAAGAAACCCTGACAGCTCTTGAATCCTAAGCCCTGCCTCAGCTCGTCACCATCGGCCGAATGTGAGGCCACGCTCTGGATGTTGTTACTATTACCTGGCCGGCTACAGTGGGATCTGCGGCTTCTGGCTTGCGGATGTAAGGTGGGCTTGAAAGGTTGAACCCGGACCCACCTGTGTCTGGACTGCAAACCTGTGATAACTAGAAAAATAAAATTGTCTGTTAGTGCGGTATACTCGGCCTTGCAATCGCCCTCAGGTCCCTTGATCCTGTGAACGAACTCTCTCAAAAACACCCTAACCTCCTGAAAACCCTAAAACCTGCACCGAAAGTTCTGAATCCTGAACTAACCTTACACCAACAAGGAGCCTATACCCTAAACCTTACAGCCCAAACCCTCTACCCTATGCCTAAACCCGATGCCATATTCCCTGCACCCCGTACTCGCAACCCTACATGCTAAACCCTGGATCCTGAATCCTTTACCCCACACCCTGAACCCTAAACTCTATACCCTAAACCTTGTACGCTGAACCCTACACCCCATACCCTAAAACCTATACCCCGAACCCTGCACCCTATACTCGTTACACCCTAAACCCTAAACTGTAAACCCATGACCCAGTCCCTGCGCCCGACATCCTTAAACCTATACCCTGCCCTATACCCTCAAATCCTACGCTCTCTACCCTAAATCCAACCCCCAGAAGCGAGGAAGTCTCGGCCGTCCCAGGAAGCCATGGCTCTGGCTATCTCTCCCCGGCATCGCCGAGGATTTGTTAGCAAAGAGTAGTCATAAGACTAATTGGGTACTTGGGCTTGGGATGGTAAGCTAGTGCTTGTGGAGAGTCTGTGATTATCAGGCACCACAAGAGTATTGAGAAAGTAGAAGAAATCACAGCAGTCGCCTTGGCAGCGATACAGTCTAGAAGGCACAGAAGTGGTCGGTGGAAGGCTTAGGGAGTTTGATGCCTCTTACTTGGGGTGTGGACTGTTTTCTATCGTGCTTAAAGCTCGAAGTGTCTTATCTTATCGGCGACGTTACTCAAACCAACAAATCTACACCCTCTGTTCCTGCCATGCAATGCCAGGTGCTGCAGAGAAGCGATGTGAGACAGGCCCAACTGCAGGGTTTCTGGAGCCTAAACCCCTAAACCTTGAACCAACCTATCAAAGTGTTCTAGGCAAGAACTGAAGACTCAGAGACCAGGGCTTCAGGTATCTGGTTGGTGTTCTCGAAATGAGGCTGCTTTCCGGGTTCCGCACCAGAAGAGTTTCGCTTGTTTTCTAAACTTTTCGGTGGGATCTAAGCAGAGAGCCGAAACTAAAGACAGGCTACACTTACTCTAGAATGCTTCTACCCTGGCATAGCATGCAATGTTTGATTGGGGAAGGATTCCACCAGATGAACCAAAAGCTCTAAGTTCCTCACAGCCTCAAAATTCATCAAAACCTTGCACCCGAAGCTTGAAAGTCGACGCCACCTTCATGAAGCTTCAACCCCCAAAACCCTTGATGCCCAAACCCTCAACTCCAACACCAAAAACCCTGCAAGCCCCCGAGAACAACATGAAACCCCCCAAAACAGACCAGGCACAACCCAAAAACATTCTAAAGTACAGAGAAAACCCTGCGAACCCCACCTACACACACACACACACATTAAACCCTAAACCCTAAACACATCGAAGTCGCCGTCGTTTCTTTCAACCTTCTTCCCCCAAAGCAGCAGAGCCGAGCCGGCCCTAGGCTTAAGACTTCGAGGATCTTTTCTGGGAAAGCTACTTGGAGGATCGTGTAGCGCCTTTTTACTGTAGGGGTTTAGGGCTTAGGGGTTTAGGGGTTTAGGTTTCAGCGTTTTACGGTTGAGGGTTGAGGGTTCAGGGTTTAGGGTGGGAAACTACTTGGAGGATCGTGGGACTCAGTGAGGTTGTCCCTACCAATTGGGGTTGTAAGTACGTGTTGCTTTATCCTACTTACCAAGGTCCCTTGATCCTTCACACGGGCTTCAGAAAAAGTTTAGAGTCACTCGCGGGATCCTTCAGAAAACGCAGACAGCTGCTGGCGTCAAGACGTCGGCTAGGTCGTCTAAGGGCTAAGACTTAGGACTGGGGCTCTCCTATACCCCAAACTTCAAACCCTAAGACCCCTGAATCCTAAACCTAAATCCTAAACCCCCAAACCCTAGGACCCTACAATCCCTAAACTCCCTAGGATGCATGATGTGGGTTCAGGGTTGAGGCGCTGAACCCTCGCCGAGCAAGCCTCGTGAAGGCAGCATCCAACCACGGAAAAGTCCCCCCCCCCCCCCGGCGCAGTGCTTTAAAGCACGGGAGGGAGGACTCTGTACACTTCAGAAAGGAATCAAAGCTCTTCGTGAGAAGAGTAGTGGGGCTCAGGACTTTAGGGGTCTACGGTTGTATGCTTGAGAGCGTAGGATATCGGTCATTAGGGGTGCACAAGGGCCTCAGATTTAGGGTCGGCTGAAAGTGCTTTGCCGAAGATTCAGGTTACAACACTAAACCCTAAACCCTGAACCCTAAACCCTGAACCCGAAACCCTAAACTGGAGCGAGCTGCGGGCGCTGCGAATAGCAGCAGCGAGCATGCCAAGGCGTCAGCGAGGCTGGCTCCGGAGCTGGCGCGACAGGCGCAGCGAAGGAGCCCCAGCACCGGCTCAGGTGCTGGGCGCACGCGACGGTCGTACTGGAACATAAGAGAAATATGTGACCCAGGTTGGCTTCAACGCGACCATCCTTCAGGATTTAGGATTTAGGGTTCAGGGCTGCAGGCCTGTATCCAGGCATTTAGGGTTTAGGATTTAGGGTTCAAGACCTTTAGGGTTTTGGATGTAGGAACCAGGGTTTAGGATTCGAAAACGGTGTTTAGGATTTAGGATCCAGGGTTTAGGATGAAGGAAGCAGGGTTTAGGATTTGGGAATCGGGCTTAGAATGTAAGATCCATGGTTTAGGATTTAGGAAGCAGGCTTTAACATTTAGGATCCAGGGTTTGGGATTTAGGAACAAAGGTTTAGGTTTAGATTTAGTGAGAGGCGATGCCCCCCAGACCCGGCCACAAATCTCAATGAAAACGCTAAACCCGACAAAGGTCATAGACTGAGTGGGCGGGTTGGGAGGGAACGTGAACCGAAGCGCACACCACGCAACATGTCCCACGTGGTGGTGTGCGCGGAGCATCGACAAACCCTAAACTCTGAACCCCTAAACCCTGAACCCTAAACCTTAAACCCATGCTGAACTATAAGAAGTGATTGTAACCGGATACCCTTACTAAATCCTCCGACCTTTACAGGTCCTGTAGTAGCTTACCGTTGCAGGGCCCAGCTGAGTTTAGGGTTAAGGGGGTTTAGGGTTTAGGGTTCCAGCCAAGACCCGTTCAATCAACAAGCTGCCTCAAATCAGATCAAGAAACCTAGAAACCTAATGGTCTTTAAGGCAATGTAAGCCCTTGAGTTACAGCTTCAGAGACATTCCTTCATTAATGGGTGCTTGAAATAACCTGACATGTTTTAGGGTGTATTCCTTTATTGATGACAGGGTGCTGGAGTCGTTGTAGACTTCGGGACTTTGGGTTTAGTTAGGGTACGGCCCCCACTCAGTAATAGTCGAATACTATTCATAATATAGATATAGTAGGACCTTAATAGTAGCCCTACTATAGACTCTTACTGTATGGGGGCCGTACCTAAGGTTTAGTTAGCAGCTCAGGATTCAGCACAGACGACATGGCTTTAGGCCACTGCAGATTCGAAGCAGCGGTCTGAAGAATTAGAACAGTAATCTTATTCCTGCTCACTACTAGGGCTAGGGTGTACTATATATATATATATATATATATATATTTATTTATTTATTTATTTATTTACTTATTCATTTATTTATTTATGTATCTATTTATTTATTCGCTTATTTATCTTTATATATATATATATATATATACACATATTTAATGTATATTTTTATGTATATCAAAATCTTGTGGCAATTATCACGGCCCATTTGTAATGCTCTGTTAGTAACCCTCATAGAAGCCGTTACAGAATCTTTGAAAGGAGCGTGCAAGTAAGCCTATTGCAAGTGTTTAGGGTGTTAGGGTTTAGGATTTGAAGGTACAGGGGCATACGTCAGCGGCGCCGCAGGCGGATGACGACATCAGTTGCAGGAACGACGACAAAGGTGGTAAACTCTTCCAGGGGCGGCTGCGTCCACTCCTCCAGCACAAAGTTCTGAAGCACCTTGCCGAATGCGAAAGTGGCAAGGTGCAGAAGGAAGGTGTCATAAGCCGGACTCTTTTCCGGAGGCCTATACTTGGATGTTCATGGGTAGTTATAAGTAGGGTTATAAGTAGGATAACTATACTTATAATCCATATTAGGAGACTGATAACACCACTTATAACCCTGAACCTCCAAGTAATGACCCCTCGTCAAGGATCCTTCCTTAAACTCGGAGCCTCTAGGTTTCACACCCGAGGATGTTGAGTTCGGCTCTTCAGGGTGTGCAGGTATGGTGGTCTTCACAGGGGGTTTTGGGTTTGGGCTTCCTTGGGGTTCCTCCATTTTTTGCACCGGCTGGCTCTTTCTGTCTTACACGTCTAGGCTTAGCATCTTGCCGAGATGCCAGCAAAGAAAACCCTACATTGGGACTATATAATTACACCATGGCATACCCTGCAAGAACACCCCCAGAAAAGGAACCCTTGCTAGGAACCCTCAAACCCTATCCTTCTTATGATGGCCCCCAACCGAAACCCTCGGCGCTCCGAACCCTAAACCCTAAGCCCTAAACCCTAAGCCCCAAAACACTATCCTGCTTATGACGACCCCCCAAAAAACTGAAATCCCTCGGGCGCCTTGGCTAAGGCCAACTTTCCCTCGTAGTCCGCCAGCTGTCGCCCCAGGCAAATACGAGCGCCATGCCTTGGCGAAGCGAAAAGGAACCCTGAAAAAGGCTTTAAGAGGTTTGGGATTTGAGGGTTTGGGGTTGAGGGTCCAAGGCTTTGGGGTTCGAGGGGCTGGCGTTGAAGGTTGAAGGTTTGAGAGTTTGAAGGCTTGAGGGTTTGAGGGTTTGAGTTCAAGTGGAGTTTACACCACGCAACATAAACACATGCTACGAGTGCTGCGAGCTGTGCGAAAGCACAGAGGTGTCCACAGCTGTTGACGAAAGTGGGTGACCCGGTCGCTGGTGAAAAGTTTTGTAAAGCCAACAAAGCTGTTGCGTGGTGTGCTCGCTTGAGCAAGGCCGCCGCCGGAGAAACTTTCTTTTTTTTTCTTTCGGACGCAGCGAGAGAGAGTCTCACCAGGCGTGTCGCCAACACATATGCACTATTGACACATGCGGCACTTCAAGAGTGCGATCTACTGCATCGCATTGCCCGTCCCAGAGGACCAACGAGCAGCAATGCGAGCGCAAAACTACAGGTGAAGAAGCATACCGAGGTGACCTCAGGCACGCGCTGTACAGTACAACTACAGACTGCCAGTGGTGGGGTGAAAAGGCAAAGCTAAACGAGGTGACCTCGCAAAGCTAGCAGTGAGGTGACCTCAACTTGCTACTGCCACAGGTAGTGCTTGGTAACACAGTAGGTAGGTGTTGCAAAACGTGTCTTCAACATCATGCTGCAGTTTAGGTGTTGACCCGTCATCATGAAGCCACAAATGATCTCCATGAACAGTGGCAGCCTGGTAATGCCCCGAAGTACTGTACACCCCTTTGTGTAAGATGAGAGACACCAGCCGATACTGCAGAAGTTGTATGGCTTGTCCAGCATCCGTAGTGTAAGTAGGGACAGAGAGGGTGCTACTGGTTTGAACTCGGCATTGGCTGCGTCTGCCATCTTCCCCGTCAAAGCGATTCAGCTGAATCAGCAGATAATGCGGCGCTTCGCTCAGGGCATGGACATGCTCCTGCGAGTGCCAATCGTCCAGGATGGTTTGCACAGAACAGTCTTCGGTGGGCAGTTCAGCAAGAAACAAGGGCCAAGTGTGGCCTGTATCCGTTACACGGCCTCCATCCGATGATCTGGCCTGCCATCGTCCCTGAAAGCAGCGATGCTGGAACACGTTCTTCGTGCTAAGGAAAGAACAGAACTCTACAACATCATGTTGCTGAGCTGGCCGCTGCCAGCCTCTGACAAGAGCACACCACGCAAAATCATCCCACAGCTGCCTGTTGGAATCGCGGAGCAGTCTGAGGAGAAATTGGTCTAAGGCTTTAGGAAACAATGGCTCTGCAGAAAGGAGTCGCAAGTGAAGCAGAAGCACTACAAGCGAATTTGCGTAACAGAAGTTTGATCGATTCAGGATACAGAGCGCCTTCAGCGCACAGTCTTGGCCAGGGCTTGCACCAGCGAGGATCTCTGGATTTTGTCGTGGCGGAAGTTTCCTGCCACTAGACGCATGACGCCGCTGTGCGTGAGCCTGTCGAACAGGCTGTAGGCGTTCTGTGCCACCTGGCCTCTGTTCGAGATTTCGAGCATGAACGGCAGAGCTGCACCGGTCACTTCGGCCGTGTGTTTTCGGGAGGCGTGGAAGCGGTGAACCACTCTGGGGATCAGGATGAACTCCTGAAGCTCCCGTACCAGCTGGAGCGCATCCTTTCTGGGAATGGCGAGCCTCCCCTCCTTGACTTGGTAGCTCTTCGCCTTGGCGTCGTACTCCAAGTAGTTGAAGCAATCGGCCTCCGAGAGGAGCTTGCTTTCCTTGGCCACTTTGCGAAGCTCCTCGTCCGTGCCCAGCTTCTCGATGCGTAGCTCGATCTGCTTGAGTAGGCATCCCAGAAGCACGACTCTCAAGGGCAGCCCCGGAGAGGCAGGGTCCTTCGCTTTCTTCTCGCTCCAAGTCTGACCGAGAGCGTACAGCTGAGGTAGGATGGCCAGGGGAGCGGAGGTCTCCATGAAGAGGATGTATGCACTGTCCTGCCGAAAAAGCTGCAGTTGATCCTCCTGGCGGATGACCACTGTGGTCAGCATCCGGACTATGCTCTTCAGATCCTTGGGGGTGGTGGTCCGGAGAAACATCCCTGAGTGAACACAGGAACCGGGTTTCCGGTTTGAGGGTTTGTGCATACATGTTGAGCGCGGTCTTTCAAAATGGGGGGGCGCGCCAAGCCGTGCTATTTGGGAGTTTCCGAAAACTAGGGGTACCTTATTTTGGGGTCCTTATGATAAGGATCCTATTATATGGGGTACTATATTAGGGTCCCCTATTTTCGGAAACTCCCATTTAGGGTTAAGGCTTAAGGGTACAGATCAGGGTCCCTTCGTCAGTGCTCCAAAACGGAGCCTCGAAACAGTTGCGCTACAGGGAATAAGTTTTCGGCGTCCCCTATTCTACTTATTAAGGCCCTTCATATATTTTAGTATAATGATTAATATAGCCCCAAACCCTATTCTACTTATTAAGGCCCTTCATATATTTTAGTATAATGATTAATATAGCCCCAAACCCTATTCTACCTATTAAGGCCCTTCATATATTTTAGTATAATGATTAATATAGCCCCAAACCCTATTCTACTTATTAAGGCCCTTCATATATTTTAGTATAATGATTAATATAGCCCCAAACCCTATTCTACTTATTAAGGCCCTTCATATATTTTAGTATAATGATTAGTATAGCCCCAAACCCTATTCTACTTATTAAGGCCCTTCATATATTTTAGTATAATGATTAATATAGCCCCAAACCCTATTCTACTTATTAAGGCCCTTCATATATTTTAGTATAATGATTAATATAGCCCCAAACCCTATTCTACTTATTAAGGCCCTTCATATATTTTAGTATAATGATTAATATAGCCCCAAACCCTATTCTACTTATTAAGGCCCTTCATATATTTTAGTATAATGATTAATATAGCCCCAAACCCTATTCTACTTGTTAAGGCCCTTCATATATTTTAGTATAATGATTAGTATAGCCCCAAACCCTACACTAATTATTAAGGCCCTTACAGTAACCATAGCTCCAGAAGCCTCGAATCTCGACCTGCGCTCTTCAACCTGCCAGCCGATACTCTGCCTGAAACCTGGGCTTTTACCCTAAACCCCAAACTCTAAACCCCTAAACCCTAGAAATCCTAAACCCCTAAGAACCCTATAAACCCTAAACCCTAGAAGCCCTAGAAACCCTAGAAACCCCAGAAACCCCGAAACCCTAGAAACCCTAAACCCTAAACCCCTAAAACCCTAAACCTTAAACCGCTTTTTTACACAGCTCAGCCCTGGAAGCCCGAAGCCCCAAAAATTCGAAGAGCTCAACACTGTGGTCTTTTATTGTTTTGCGAGGGTCTGGGACTACCACTGTGATGACAGGGCAAATTTCCAGAGACCATAAACCCACAAACGTACGACTGCTGATGATATGCATGACTCTAGACTATGGGAATTATCGTATATTCCGTACTATGGATAATTGAGGATTTATATCATCAACCGTACCTGTTCCAATTTAGTAATTCCAATCACCTGCTCTGGAAAGGCCTTCTCAACCATGACCCTCTGCTTTCGCACTTCTGTGGGATCTTCAAAACCCCGTTAATTAGGCTTTAGGGTTCAGGGTTTAGGATCCCTCTAGAAAACGTCCTAATGATGTGACTCTACATGAACCCTTGTCAAAAAGCACGCATGTTACAACCTGTGTGGAACCTTCAAACGCTTATGCAACCCGAAACCTGGCATCCGAAAACGCGCTTGTCATCATGAACCCCACAGAAAAGCCCTCTTTGTGAGACTCGGCACAAAAAAAGGCAACAAGTGCTGTAGGTTTTGCGCTAAAGTGTTTGGATTTAGGGTTTAGGGGGTTGGGGCGTTTCGGCTTAGGCGATTCGGGCTTTTGAGTTTGGGTGTTCCGTAGGTGAAAGTCAAGGAAACTACTTTTCAAACCCTAGAACACATCTGAAAAACCTTCTCCACAATGGATCCTCCAGAGCTCTTCTAAAGCAGAAACGGTGGGGCCGCAGCCCTAATGTGGCCAGGGAGCCCGAAGAAAAGGCTGTCAAAAGGCGGGTGCTTGATGATGCCTCTCAAGAAGGCTCCTACCTCTATCATGCCTTCTAACTTGGAGGTTCATGGGTAGTTATAAATGGGGTTTATAGGGGTCCTTTAAGAGATCCAGAAGGGCTCCAAAAGGGTTCCATAAGGGGAGGTTCATGGGCAGTTATAAGTGGGGTTTGTAAGCCCCTAAATAGAGGCTATAACTATAGCTATCCTACTAAATAATACACCCCACTTATGACTACCCATGAACCCTGATAGAACCCTTATAGAGCCCTTATAGATCCCTTAAAGGACCCCTGTAAACCCTACTCATAGCTATCCACGAACCTCCAAGTAGGGATCTCGTCCCAAAAAGGCTCCTGGGAGGTCCTTCTGTAGGCTCTGGGGAAGGGGTTGAAGAAGGCTCTCCTTTAGAGGTTTAGGTTGACCTAGGTGTATGTGTATGTGTATGTGTTTGTGTTTGTGTATGTGTATGCGTGTATATGTATGTATGTATGTATGGATGTACACATGCATGGATGTATGGATGTATGTATGTGCGTGTGGTGATATGCAGGAAAGCGCGTAGATGCAGATCTCCCTCAGTTCAAATCCTTACTTCGGGCCCCACTGACTAGTCTAAACGACCCTCGGCCAGACCTCCCTGAACCCCAAAGCCCTGAATCCTACACCACGAACCCTCAGTCCAAAATGAGGAGCCGAGCCCTCAACCCTAAACCCTATGCCCTAAACCCCTACACCCTAAACCCTAAACCCCCAAGACCCTAAAGCCGAAACCCTTAACTCGACCCTAAGCACCGCGAGCCCCACACCCGAAGGGAGAGTCAAACATTGGGTTCCGTAGTATAGGGGCCGTAATAATCAGAATAGGGTTCAGGGGTATGTTATCTCATAACTACCCTAAACCCTAAACCCTAAACCCTATAATAAGGAGCTCCCAGAATCCTGCTCTGATCATTAAGGCCCCTATAGCCGACGCACTTCCCTGCCTTCAGGTCCGAGCCATCGCTGAGGTCGGAACTCCTGCGGATGTTGCCGGGACTTTTTGGGTTTGGTGTTGGGGGTTAACTAGGATACCCAGTCACCTAAGAATAAAAAGGCCTCTCTTTTTGGTATTGGGTAACTTTATAAGGAACCTAGGACTACAAAAAGAGAATAAGGGTACTACTGGGCATCCTAGTTAAGGCTCTTGCATGTATGGTTTAGGGTCTAGGTCCTGTCTAGGTCCTAAAACCCAAACTTCAAGACCTGCAACCCAAAAACCAAAACCTCAAGCAGCAAATGGGAGTGTCTGTACACTTTTGTACACTTGGGCATCAGTATATCCCAAAGCCTGAACCCCTAAACTTGTAGAATTGCCTCGAAAACGAACCCACAACCCCACATTTTTGAGCTTAATGCTCTCCCGCTCCTGGAGGTCGTCACCAAGCTTTGCCTTGACCTCCGGCGAGTTTTTCAGGACGTGGCGATAGTTCAGCCAAAGCTCCGTGTGCCGTGGCACCTTGAAAGGAGGGTTAGTCCAGATTTTCAGGATCGGGGCTTGAACGGCGAGCTGCTGGGGGTTGGCTGTGAGCTTTTTGAGGGTGAGCTTCACACCAAGTGCTCCATTGACAATAATCTTCACCATGCTGCCAATCTCTTCGTTTCGTTGCACGCTGCTAGGCTGAGACAGGTCGGAAGATGCGTTGGATGAGGCACGCATGAGGCCTGTTGCTTAAAGGATCATGGGACTTAGTAAGTATGGTTATAAGTACCTTAATTGGGTTATAAGTAATTATAGGTGTAGCTACCCTAGTAATAACCCCAGTTACTAAGTCCCATGACCCTCCAAGTGTAGCTACAGCAGGCTGGGAGTCCTGGTTCCGCAAGAACGGGGAATTCCGTGCGTTGCGATGAAAACAGCAGGCGAAGTCTCTTTGTGTTTCTTGCTCAGGTGTCGCAGATGCTGATCTGTTGTTTGGAAGAGCTCGGCGGCGGTGCTTGAAATGCCTTCATGCGATTTGACTATCAAACGCGAGGCAATAAAGTCTGAAGCTCCAAGATCTCAATCTGTAGTCCAACATCAAAAGTATCACGAAACTCAGCGAACTGTGTACAGAAAACCTTGCCAGCACCCTTGCACAACCCATTAGCACACGTTGCAACATAACTCTGAACCCTAAGCCCTAACCCGTGTTCTCGAAGACTGTAACAACAAGCCTGAACTCAAAAACACTTATATAAGACTCTACAAAACCTAAAACCATGATCCTGCGAGAATCCGGACAAGACTCTGCACCATAACACACGCATCGCGATGAAGCCGCAATAAACAAGCCTATGAAAGCCTACGAAGCCCTGGCAACCATACGTACAGACCCTGAACCCTAACCTCGAGACATTAAGCTTTGAAGCCCGGAGCCTCCCTAAACTCTAAGCTCTAAGGCCTATAAACTCTAAACTATAAACCCTACACTCTAAACCCTAAACGGCCCTAACACCCTGAAGCCTAAACCCTAAACCCAAGACCAAGAAAAAATGTCAGAGCCGGGCGGCGGTGCGGCCGGCGAGCTGGATCGGCTCCTCTCTTCGCTGGATTTGATCTGCTTTAAGGATTTTTTTTGTTTTATGGGCTCTGTTTTGAGGGTTCAGGGGGTTCAGGGGTTTAGGGGTTTTGGGGTTTAGGGTTCAGGGGTTTAGGGGTTTAAAGGTTTTGGGGTTTAGGGTTCGTGGGTTTAGGGGTTTTGTGTACATTTTGGGATTTTGGGGGTTTAGGGGCTTAGGGCCTTACAGTAGCTTTCCAGGGTTGCATACGGTTCTGCCGGGTTCTTTCGGATAGCATAGGGTTTTGAAGGGTTTAGGGTTGGGCCCCTTGACTATTCACGGTCAGGGTTTCGGGTCAAAAGGCTTTACACATGCTTATTGGCACGTATGTGGGAAACGTGGTCTGCACACACGCATGTTTGGGCGCCTGCAACCACAACCACCTCTTGTGTGCTGGTCTTCTTCGCAGTAGACAGTCGGACATCTATGTGTAAGAACAAAACCATCTTAACGGATACCTGTACAACAACTACATACAGCCTGGAGGCACAGAGCCCAGTGTCTGATGCAGGGGTCTCAGCAATTGAAACAAGGTTTTTGGGCATGTTGAAGTAAGAACCATAACAAAGAAAAAGAGCTGTATTAAAAACAGTTATGTACATATACATATATATGTATCAATAGCGAGGAATCTTAGTTGGAGGTTGAGGGGTAGTTATAATTGGGCACAAAACACATGTCAGCATAAAGCAGTTTATTACCCCGGCTGCAAAATCATGGAGCAGGCTTCGCTCGCATTTGAGGAGGCACCGGATGCCCAGATCCAGCCTGCTTGGCGCCTGCGTCCTTGTGACGGCTGCAAAAAACATGATCAAGAAGCGCTCTGTTTCTCTCCCGCCTGGCCGGCGGAACCGGCCGATTCGAAGATCTGGACGAACGCGGCCTGACATGCTATTGTCAGCACTGCTGGAAACATGCACTGAAGCTACGGGCCTGGATGTGCACTTCAGTAGAAGCTCATGCGAAACGGTTACAGGAATCCATAGTATGTAAATGACGAACATAAAAAGGTCACGCACTAGCTCCAACGGCCTTTTCGGCAGTCATGGCGTGGACTTCAGCTTTCAATGCAGAATAGAGCCATTGGATGGCCAGGCCATGTGGCCGGCCACGGATCCCCTCTGCCAAGCAAAAAAAGCATTTGAGAGAAGTTTTGGAGAGACCTGTGAAAACGCGTTTCCAGGCCTTCTCCCAACATTGCAATGCAGACATGCTCGCGCGGGCAGGTGGAAACATAACGGCTAGGGCTAACTGAGTTGCTTGATGCCACGTGCTCTCATATCAAAAAACTATTTGGTCACAACATGTTAAGCTCAAAGCGTTTGTGTGCGTGGCAAACTTGCAAAGCGAGCGAAGCTCCTTTTGTTGCCATTCACAGCTTGGTCTCATCGCTTCAGGAAAGCAGGTATGGTCACGGCTACAGAATAATAGATGGGATGCAAGCCAATAGATACATGCCCTAAGTTGCTTTTGGTCAAATTTTGCTTCACTTAGGCAACATCAGTAGCATGCCTCCGCGGCCTCTTCACAGGCAGCGTGAAACGTTTGCCAGGGCTCAGTAGCCGTCAGTGGAGGGATGTGCACGAGGTCTGCATGTGGAACACTAGCACAAATAACGCACTGAAAGCATTGCCCGCCGTGCCCCGGACAGGAGAGCAAGTTCAGGTTGTACAGAGCTCTGTCGATGCGAGTGCAGATCTTGCTCGACGGAAAGATGCGTCTCGCATGCATCAATGCCTCAAAACCACGACTGTCATCTATAAATCTCCTGACAGCAACGATTGCAACCAAGGTGCACATTCCAGGAGGCATCCCACGGTACAAGGATTGGAGGCTCTGGCCACAAAGCTTGGCGTTAGCAGCAACTGCGCTGCCCTGCATTTGTCATACCAGACGAGTGAAACTCGTCGTGGAGCACGGCGCGCCTTGGAGAAGCAAGGTACTCGATGCCACGGGGATTGTGCTTTCTAAGCCCCTGACTCTCGCTTCTTGGCCATACCGATCACCTCATGTAAGCAAAGGTGTAGTTCGTCCGTCACCTGGCCATAGTATGTAAATGACGAACATAACAAAAAAAACATGCACTAGCTCCAACGGCCTTTTCGGCAGCCATGGCGTGGACTTCAGCTTTCAATGCAGAATAGAGCCATTGGATGGCCAGGCCACGCGGCCGGCCACGGAGCCCCTGCCAAGCGAAAAAAACATTTGAGAGAAGTTTTGGAGAGACCCGTGAAAACGCGTTTCCAGGCCTTCTCCCAACATTGCAATGCAGACATGCTCGCGTGGGCAGGTGGGAACATAACGGCTAGGGCTAACTGAGTTGCTTGATGCCACGTGCTCTCATATCAAAAAATTATTTGGTCACAACATGTTAAGCTCAAAGCGTTTGCTCCGCTGCTCTCCGCTGCTGCTCTCAGCTGCTCTCCGCTGCTCTCCGCTGCTCTCCGCTGCTATCCGCTGCTGCTCTCCGCTGCTCTCCGCTGCTGCTCTCCGCTGCTCTGCTCTCCGGAGTACACCCCACAATAACCACAAGAAAGACGATACCAACGATAATGTCAACTACAAGAAAGAAAAGAGGACTGAAGACAAAAAAAGTAGACGTGAAACGACCATAGATCAATGTGAAATCTACTCGAATCCCAAATTAGTCCAAAAGATATGTAATTCCACAAATGTAGATATGTATATGTTTATATGTATATACACTGTAAATATCACAAAAAGTTCTTGCTTAACATATGAAAAAAACCATAAAATCTATTCAAATCCTAAAGTACTCGAAATGCGAGAATAATTCAGAAGTCACCACTGCACTGGCGACCCACGCTCTCTCTCTCTCTCTCTCTCGCTCTCCCTCTCTCTCTCTCTCTCTCTCTCTCTCTCTCTCTCTCTCTCTCTCTCTCTCTCTCTCTCTCTCTCTCTCTCTCTCTCTCTCTCTCTCTCTCTCTCTCTCTCTCTCTCTCTCTCTCTCTCTCTCTCTCTCTCTCTCTCTCTCTCTCTCTCTCTCTCTCTCTCTCTCTCTCTCTCTCTCTCTCTCTGTCTCTCTCTCTTTCTCTCTCTCTCTCTCTCTCTCTCTCTCTCTCTCTTTTTTTAGATTTATATACGCATGTATACGTATAAAACCAGAAGAGTGTATATGTGCGAATATGTGTATTTCCGTTTCTGTGCTCGGCCGTTTTTTTTTTTTGCGCGGGAGACGCGGCTTCGACTTCCACTCACCCCAGCCGCCGTCCTGATGGTTCAAGCTTCCGCATCGCATGCCCTTTCAAATGAAGTTTCTAAGCATCGGACGCTTCAATGCGGGCTTGCGCATCCACTGAAGTAGCAGATCTCCGGCTCCGTGTTTTGTCAACCGACGGCTCACCGAACAGGCATGACACACCAACAGTCCAATGGTAAGGCCCTCGCACGTCCAAGTCAATCTCGTCGGCGTGCCATTCGAGTACCCTGCCGATCACAGTAGCGGCAGATAACAAAAAAAAGGAAATGTGGCATCCAGCCTCAGATGGTGCTCGATCACCATCTGTATGGCGTGGACGAACGGGTCGGTTGAAGTTGTTGGCCAGTATACGACCTCGGACAAGTCAAACTTATCTAGTGCAGTTTCACTTCTACTCTGCCTTCTTGTACACATCGTACATGAAGTCGCCTAATGACGTATCAAGCTCCAATACCAAGTAGCAGCTATCATAAAAAGACTGGCCTGCGTCGACCTCTTCCAGCAAGGCCCGTTCCAGGCCAAAGACTTGCCCACGCAACTATTCACAAGTCCTTTACGATGACTCCCCAGGCCTTGGCCGTATGGCTTCCACTCCACCAGCTCGGATACCTAAATCGCAAACCACAAAAAAACCCTGACAAAGCACGGACTCGCGAGTAACGCTAAGCCGAGGCAGGAACTGAAACTGTGGCCCGTCCACTGCCTCAATGTGGATCATAGGCATCGAAGCGTAGATGGGACCTCACGCGACGGCGGGACCCTAAACGGACGAACAAATCGACCTCCGAGAATGCGGCCGGGGAGTCCAGCCATGTCGACCTAGAACGATGGAGGCACGCGTATGAATCCAGTAGAATCAACTTCCGGGGACGGCACGACAAGCACTATAGTTATCCTACTTAAAACCCTAATTCTATCTACCCACGAACCTCCAAGTATGGAATAATATTAGTGATCATTCGGGCTTCTATGTGAGAGAACCTTCTATGGCTGCCGGTCACCTGTGAGCTTGAAGGATCCCTTAAGGGAACCCTAAGAGGATCCCTAAAAGGAGCCCTTGAAGGAACCTTATAAAGGGATCCGTCAAAGGAGTCCCCAAGGGCTCAGGGTTTTGGGAATGCGGCTTCAGGACTTGAAGGGCTTAGGGTTTCTTGTCTTAGGGTTGAAAGTTTTAGGGTTCAGGGTTTGAGGGTCAAGGGTGTAGGGTTCGCGACACACAATGCTGATGTTTTGACCACTTCCGTTCACTCCTGGTTCATGAAGAAATCAAACGGCGCTGGGCCATTCCTGGGATGAAGGGCTAAAGCCCAGGGGCCTGATATACTGGAATGAGGCACTGGGGCTTAAATATGCTTCACCCTACGGGTCCAAGTACCCAACTATCATATACTCCCAAAAACAGTAACCTACACAACTACCATCCCAAACCCGAGTACCTAATTATTGGGTCCTTTGTCCCCTTAGGGTTATTACCATGGGATTAGGGCATAGTGGTACCACTTACTACTGGTTCTGACTGCTAGGCGAGCAGTTCGGTAGGGGCCTTTGCCCCAAACCTCCGCAACACAAGTAGGGCCCATGGATCAGACTGCGTGAATATCTGCATCATAGGTATGTACGCATGTATATACGTACATATACATACTGGCTGCTGCTTTACTGAGTTGCCTATCTGGTGACACAAGGGTGTTGTCAAAATTATGGTCCCTTTTTCGGGTACCCTAAATATTAGGTGCCGTAATATAATAAGGACCCAAAAACGACCCGAATTTTGTCAACCACCCATATATGGTTGTGCCCCGCCGCCCCCCCCCCCCTCCCTGAACGGCTTGGGCCTTGAGCTTCCTAGAATATACTATGGTATAGGATCCTAAAATCCTAGAAAATACTATGATGATATCTAGAATCCTAGAGTATACTAGAATCCTAGAATATACAATTATGATATGTAGAATCCTAGACTATACTATTATGATATAACTTCCTAGAATATACGATGATTCATTTATATCATGTAGAAAGACCCCGTGTAGAAGCCGGGCCCTGATACTTGCAGCGGCGTCTCACTCGAAGCGTCTCGAGCCACATGGCCGAGACCAACTGCAAAGAGTCCTTGGACTGGGTTTAGGGTTTCGGGTTTAGGGTTTAGGGACTGGGTAGAGCCTCCAAAACCCCTTAATTAATGAATATACCTTAAATCATATTAGGGATCCTATTATAATTTAAGGTATATTCCTTAATTAAGGGGTTTTGGAGGCTCTGGGTTCTTCAGGAGTTTATTTTAAGTTACCATAATAGGGATCTATAGTAAATAATATGGTCTCTTTAGCATGGTAACCTATATGGTAACTTCATGCTAGGGGTCTAGGTTAATATATGGTTTCTTTCTCTCTGTTTTTATGGTGACCTAAACCAAACTCTTTGACAAGAACCCAGTGGATCGGCCACTAGGCTCGGCCGGGGGGTTCCCTGGAGGTTTGGGGCGTTAAGCAAGCTCTAGAAAATGGTTTTGGGGTTTAGGGTTTGGAGATTAGGGGTTTAGGGGTTTAGGGTTTTTGTGTTTTAGGGATTAGGGGTTTAGGGTTTGAGGTTTCGGCGTTACTTGGAGATTCATGGGTGGTTATAAGTGGGGCTTTCAGTCCCCGAATGTGGGTTATAACTATAGTTATCCTACTTCTAACCCTAGTTGTAACTACCCATGAACCTCCAAGTAGGGTCTAGGGCCTAGGGGTTAGGGTTGAGCTTAAGGGTTAGGGTTCTAAAGCGGTGTACAAAGGGTTTCCCGTTATGCAGGGTGGTGCCGTACGGCTTTAACCGAAGCTTTTTGTTGAATTGGCTAGAAACACACTCGGCTGGGAGTTTACCTTAACAAGTCCTCCGGCGCTGAACCGAAAATCACAAAGCCCCATAGCCCAAAAACCCCTGAACCTGAAACACCTACGATTTCAATGAAAGGCCTGAACACCGAAACCACTTACCCGACGACAGCCGTCCATCATCGGACTGTCTAGCTTTACATAGGAAGTCCTTCTCGACATCCTCCAAGCAGTCTCCTGAAAAGCCCGTAAACCCCTAAACCTAACCCTCCTGTTACTACACCCCTAAACTGTTAGAAAAAATCCATTGAAGCTCTGCCGGCGAGGTGCCAGCTGCTCCAGAGTCAAAACGCCCGGCAAGGACTTCACCTCGCAGCTCCGACCCGGAACCCTGAACCCGGGACCCAAAACCCGAAAACCCTGTACCCGAAACTCTCAGGCAAAACCTTGAACCCAAAACCCGAAACCCGAAACCCACTAAACCCAAGACCCTCATCCCCAAAGCCCAAACTCTCTGAACCCAAGACCCTCAGCCCTGAACCCAAAACCCTACTCCGGAGCTCCGGGTTCACGGTTTCGGGCTTCGCTGGGCGGGGGGGGGGGCGGGGCGGGGTTAAAGTTTGGACTCCGGATGCTCTGCGCACACCACCACGCGAGACGTGTGTTGTGGTGTGCGCCTAGGTTCAACGCTGCAAACAGGGCAGGGCAAGCAGGGCAGGCCAGGGCCAGGACAGGGCCAGGGCACAGGGCACAGGGCACAGGGCACAGGGCACAGGGCACAGTGCACAGGGCACAGGGCACCTGCCCTGCAGGGGCAGGGCCAGGCGCAGGGCCAGCCTCGGCCAGGGGCAGGGAGAGGGACACCAACCTCCGAGCTTGAAGGTTAGGGTCATATTGTGCCTGTCGGCACACACACCCGGCACACACACCCGGCACTACTACTACTCCTCCTCCTCCTCCTCCTACTACTACTACTACTACTACCACTACTACTACTACTACTACTACTACTACTACTACTACTACTACTACTACTACTACTACTACTAGTACTAGTACTAGTACTAGTACTAGTACTAGTACTAGCACCCAGCACACACCCAGCACACACCCGGCACACACGGTGCTGGGGCTCCTCCGCTGCGCCTGTCGCGCCAGCTCCGGAGCCAGCCTCACTGACGCTTCGGCACGATCGCTGCTGCTATCGCAGCGCCCGCAGCTCGCTCCAGTTTAGGGTTTAGGGTTGATTGAGGGTCTAGGGTTTCGGGTTGAGGGCTTAGGGTTTACGGTTTAGGGTTGAGGGTTTGGGGAATTCCAGGAGAAAGCTGGAACCTGGGTTTAGGAGGGTTAGTGCTAGGATCCCTTATACTTTACCTTGAGGGCATGAGGATACTAGTTGTTCCAACTCTTGCGCTTCTACTGTGGTTTGGGGTTGAGGGTCCAAAGTCTACGGGTTTAGGACTCGGGATTTTGGGGTTAGGATTGGGGGTTGGGGTTTCGGATTTGGGATTTAAGGCTTTTCGGATTAAGGCTTAGGGTTCAAGATGTTACACCTGGGAGCTTTTGGTGTAAGGCTTTTAGGGCTGCTGGTGAGGACATAGTCGTCCATACGCTGCTGCCCAGACTACTCATGTGCTAAGCAAAACCCAAAACATGCACCATAATTTTTAGAAAGTCACGGGGGGCGCGGCCCAGGTGTGATGCATTGGGGAGCAAGACTGTGCTAGAGTCAGGACACAGGCTAGAAGCTTCAGAGTTTGGGGTTTAGGGTTTAGGGTTTCCTAAACCCTAAACCCTAAACCCTAAACCGATGTCCGGAGGGCTGGGTTTTGGAATGTCAGAAACGCAACTGGCAATCAGCACAAGACGAACAGCCACACATGTCTATTCCCAAGTCCCTAAAACCCTGAAAACCCTAAAACCCGAAGCTACACACCCATGCAGCCCCACAAAGCCAGTTGACCCTCATAAACCTCCCAGACACCCTTTTAAGACCCCATAAACCTAGGATACCCAGTAACCTAAGAATAAAAAGGCCTCTCTTTTTGGTATTGGGTAACTTTATAAGGAACCTAGGACTACAAAAAGGAAATAAGGGTACTACTGGGCATCCTAGAAACCCTTAAAGCCCTCATGAATCAAATCTGCCTCCTCTGCGAGAGCCTGCTGCAGCTCAGGCAGCCGGGCAAGGTGATAAAAAGCCCAACTCCTCGGATGCTTTAGGGTTTAGGGTTGAGGGTTTAGGGTTTACGTAGGGTTTAGGGTTGAGGGTTTAGGACTAGGGTTTAGGGATTAGGGTTGAGGGTTTAGGGTTGAGGGTTGATAGGGTTGAGGGTTGATAGGGTTTAGGGTTGAGAGTTGAAAGTTGACAGGGTTTAGGGTTTAGGGTTGAGGGTTTTTGGTTTAGGGTTTAGGGTTCAAGGTTGAGGGTTTAGGGCTGAGGGCTGATGGCTTCAAGATTAGGGCTCAGGGCCTGGCTTGGGATCAGGGCTTAGGGCCTAAGGCCCGGGAAGCAGAGGCAGGAAGGAAAGGCATCTAGGGTTCAGTGTTTCAGGCTTTGGGTTTCGGATTTAGGGTACAGCTCGAGGTTTAAGCCAAGCGCTGGGATTCAAGGGCGTAGTGCTCAAGCTGTTTGACAGCACGAGATTGACCGGCAGCATCGTCATGCTAAAGGGATCCTTTTGCGGCTTCCATGGCAGTCTTCGACCTCTAAAGACTTTAATCTCTAAATCCTAAACCCTAAAACCTCCCAAAACCATAAACCAAATGTGTTGGTAGAGACATCATCGTGGGCCCTTACAATACAACGTTGAGGAAGCGCTCTTCCTTCCAAGCTCACTTGCAGGAACAGGGGACATGGTGAGTAGGAGGGCTTTGTAGGAATTTATGCGGTGTTGTGAGGGTTCATGGGGTGTTACACTGCTTTCTTGAAAGGATCAGGGGACTTAATGAAGACCTCCAACTCCTAACCCCAATTCAAGTGTCATTAACCCTAAACACTGAACCGAAAGCCCCTAAACCCTTCAGCCTTGTTTGCCAGTCCACTAAGCATTAACTTTATCCTCCCAGCCGGCCTATGCACGAAGCCATGAGCCACAGAGCCCAAAAGATTTCAAGCCTGGCATGTCACAGCCGTGCAGAATGAATAACTACTATATTATGTGTATACTAACCATATGAAAAGTATCTGCGTGTGAGTGATATATTATGCTGCAATACATCGCACAGCACTACTTAGCATCACTTTGCATCGCGTGAGTGCTTTACAGTGTTCTAGCATGTACGATGCTCAACCATGATATAACAGTCGATGAGGTGAGATGCAGGTTAGATTGGAGTTGGCTTCATTAGATTGCGACACGTTCTAGTTTGATACATCCGATCATACCGTTTGACTTTGATACAGTATGCTATACTGCATCCTATATGCATTGTTGAAAATATTTGTGTAAATACATATATAAATGTACACATGTAAATACATAGACATATATGTATATATATATATATATAGATATGTGCTGTACACATGCAAGTCTTTTTAGTTTGAAAGCCGCGGCGAAAAGCCCCCAAAATCCGAAACCCTCCCAAAACAAAGGAAAACATCATCGGGGCTGTCGTACCTAGTAACATTGTTCCCTTGAAGTCTCTATGTAATAAAAGACCCTCAAGCCCCAAAGCCGAAAACCCTAAACTCCTAGAAAACCAACCCTAAACCCTGACAACCCAAACCCAAAGACCTAAACCGACCTCAGCAAAGGCAAGGCACAAAGCCTGGCTAGTCGTATCTGTGCCAGCAGCGAAGAGCACCTCCAGGTTACCAACCAACTCCTGTCTGGGTCACGCGGAGTTTAGGCTTTAAAGTCAAAGGGTTTTAGGGTTTAGGGTCTAGGATTTGAGGGTTCAGGGTCTAGGGTTTAGGATCTAGGGGTGTTAAAGTTTTAGGTTTTAGGGTTTAGGGTTTAGGGTTTAGGGTCTGGGGTTTAGGGTCTGGGGTTTAGGGTTTAATTTAAGTCTAGGGTCTAGGGTTTAGGGTTTAGGGTTTCGGAAATTGCAGTGCAGGGCGACAGCTGTCGATGGTGTCGAGAAGGCACACTGCGATTGTGGTTTATAATGCCAATTGTGGACATGCTTAATTAACACTTGAACGCTACGAACTCTCGCCATCTTGTTGTTGAGAACCTGCTAAAAACATAAAAAGGTCGGCAAAACTATCAAAGGTTACCCCACTATCTGCACAGATTTCAGACACGCCTTCAAAACACCTGAACCCTTGTCAGCTTGAGGGAGGATGCATAATTTCAAGAGATCCCCGAACGCCAAACTGCCATGACAGGAACCACAAACCCTCTCAAATCCTATAAAGCAGTACAAAGTACCATTCTTATATTCAACATATATTGGATTGTCTTCAGCCTATGCCGCTGCCGAACAACCCTACCCGGCATCCTGAATTCGCCCTCAACACCCTTAACCCCCCAAACGCTGGCCTTTAAGCATCTTGGTAGTAAAAGCGACAAACTAGATCGAAGCCCCAATTAGAGGATCAAGAGACTTGCTAGTTCCGCTGATACGCAAAGTAAACCCTAAACCCTGAAACCTAAGACCCTCACACCCTGAAACCCTAAACTTAAACCCTAAAACCCCAAAACCCTCAACCCTAACCGCTCGTCGTGGGTGAACTTGTCGCCGTCCATCTTTCGCAGTTTCTCCACCAGCGTCTCGCCGTGACCTGCCTGCTTCTCCTTGGGTCTGAGGGTTCGCAGGTTGAGGTTGTCATACATATACATATACATGTACATATACATATACATACACATACACATACACATACACATACACATACACATGCACATACACATACACATACACATATACATATACATATACATATACATATCCATGAACATATACATATACATATACATTTACATTTACATTTACATTTACATATACATATACATATACATTTACATATACATATACATATACATATACATATACATATACGTATACGTATACATATACATATACATATACATATACATATACATATACATGAACGTATACATATACGTATACATATGCGTATACCTATACATATACATATACATATACATATACATATACACATACACATACACATACACATACACATACATATACATATACAGAGACACATAGACATATACAGGGACACATACACATACACATACACATACACATACACATAGACATATACACATACACATACACATACACATACACATACACATACACATACACATACACATATACATATACATATACATATACATATACATATACATATACATATACATATACATAATATACATATACATAATATACATATACATATACATATACATATACATATACATATACATATACATAATATACATATACATATACATATACATATACATCTACATCTACATGTACATGTACATGTGCATGTACATGTACATGTACATGTACGTATACATGTACATGTGCGTATATCTGTACATATTTACATGTGGCAGGAACCTTTACGTATAATGTGTTGCTTTTCTTTTTGTTATTATTAAAAGTCTATACGCCACGGCCTATTATCATTATTTTTGTGACAACAACAACTACTACTACTACTACTGCTACTACTGCTACTCCTACTACTACTACTACTACTACCACTACTACTACTACGATTACGCAAGCGATGAGGACGACGATTACGGCGGCGACCTTAAGCGCCCAGCCACAAAGTCTGGACACCCGTGTTTAGTGCCTGGCAGTGGCGGCTGTCTGGTCGCTGGTGGTCGGCTCGTCGCGGGTTGCCAAGGGCAAAGAGACAGCTCCGACTCTTTGCTGGTTTTACTTCTTCGACTACTTCGCGCAGCTTGTGGAAGAATGGGCCTCTCGGCCCTTGGCTGTGCACTGTGCCCCTTCACTGGCACAGAGGCTGCTTACAAAACAAAGGAAAACTTCGCGGTGGAGTCTGACCGGCTCCTTCTAACTGCTGAAATACCTTTCTATCCAACGACTATTGGACATAAGAGCTCGTAATGGCAAGAAATTGAGGACTAAACGTCTTTGTCAGACCCCTTGTCAAAGTCTAAGGTAGAGTCGGACATTCTCCAAATCTTTGACAGGACACCCTTGTTTAGTGCCCGGCAAGTGACGGTCGGCTCGTCGGTGGTAGTCATGAGCAAAAGAAGAAAGTTCCGACTCTTTGCGGCTACTTCGTGCAGCTCGTGCAAAAATGGGCTTCTGGGCCCTTGGCTGTGCACTTTCACTGGCACAAAAGCTGCGGCAAGAGTAAAACGCTGGCAGTCTAGTCGAAGGAAACAAGGCAAAGGAAAACTACACGGTGGAGTCTGACTTGTGCAATTAAACTATAGAAAGATCTGTCTATCTGATGACTATAGCCCATCACAGCCCTTCATATCAAGAACCTTGAGACCTAAACGTCTTTGTCGGACTCCTTGTCAAAGACTTGCAAGATGGACGCGGAAGAGTCTGGATGGAAATTTTGTAGGCGAAGATGGTAAGGTGAGACATTCTCAGACTCTTTGACAGTGGCTGAAGCAAGATGTGCAACACAATGCTCAGAACCCGGACCGGGAAACTCAGTGATCCATACGCCCTGCACCTGCACGGTGTCAGCGCGCACGGAATGGAACAACAACTACAATAATTGCGCTTCTTCAAGTGATCTGCGTAGTCTTCTGTAAGAAACTCTTGCTACGCCGCTGCGGCTCTTGGAGTTCGGGTGCAAGGCCGCCGCGAACAGGGATCCTTGTTCCCATGGCAGGTTGTATAGCTTTAGTTGGAGCGCTCTTTGATCATGGAGATTAGGGTTCTAGGGTGCTAACCGTCGGTATGCTAGGGAGATTAAAGGGTTTCTCGACGAGGGGCTTTGCGAAATCAGATGTTGAATTTCGCAGAGTTCTGCAAGTCTGCATGCGCCACTTTGTGGAAGCAAATCAGCCGGAAAACAATCGAAGTGCAACTCAAAACAATGAGCATCACCACCGTGCAGCAAGTAGTTGGATCAGCTGCGAGGCCACGAATGACGAACAGGCACCCAACCCCCGCCACTAAGAAAACTCCACCACCACGAACGAGACTCGACTGGTGTTCGGTCCAAGACCCCAAGCCTGCACTCCACTCCTCTGAAGACCCAAGAAAGGCAACGACCTCCATGACTGCAGTTGGCAGAGTCACCTGCAGAGACCACCCATCTGATAAAACAGGAGGGGATGCCCTGAGGCCATATCAGAAAAGGTACTTACATGTATAGTCTCCATTGTAGTTCCTTTTTTGTTACCTTAAACTCTCATATATAGAACTAGTTAAACCAAAAAAGAACTACAAAGGAGACTCTAAGTAGTCTTGGCCTTTGAGATTTAGGGTGAAAGGGAGATTCAGGAAGTTCAAAGTCCCTTTGTCCGGGTCACCTCCCTACACCAGGGATTCAATGATTTGGGCCTGTGCTAAGGTTCCTCCGTCTCTTGGAGCTACTTACAAGCCCCGTGTGAGATGAGCACCTTAGAATCTTAAAGCTTGGGATTCTAGGCTTTGGGCTGAGGGTCTGAGGTTTGTGTTTGCGGGGTGGTGGGGCTTGGGGGCTCAAGTTCAAGGTTCTTATATTGCCCAAGCCGCAAAGTACAGCATAGCATGCCGGCCTCAACGCCTAGAATACGGTGTTAGGCAGACTACGACTTGAACTGCGACTTGAATTCCTGAAGCACCACATTTCTCCCTGATGATTATGGTCCTGCATAAGTTTTACATCCCGTGTAATTCCTTATAGCCCCAATTAGGCTAGGCTACTGAAAACCGCGGCTTCAGCCTTCAGACCGTGCCGCAAACTTGGCGCCCTGGTCCGAAAACAAAGAACACGCCTAGCCCATCAGCGTAGGGTCGGGGTTTGTGGCCGAGCAAATTGAAACTCTTTCCGAAACCGTCGACATTTCCCATCAACTCCAACACAGGGTGTCGGGTTTAAGTTTAGGGTTGAGGGCTTGGGAGGTTTTGGCGTAGGCCTTCAGAATGCTGTGGCTTTTACATCAGAACAACTGGAGCCTCAATCGCTGCACTTCCAAGCCTCACCAACGGCATTCTCCGGTGACCGTGTTCCAATAATACCATGTGCCAGTTGAACCTCTGCTCAAGGAGAGTGTATACGCTTAGGGTTACTCTGTGTGTCTGCTTTTGCCGTGCAAGCAAGGACAGCCAGCGCTTATGCACAAACCTGTATGATTTAGACCGTGGTCTTGCCGCGCACTACACCGTATTTCAAGCGAGCAGTGGGACAAAATCTTGGGCCAAGCCCGATTGATCACATCGCGGGCCTGCGCCTCCAGGCCTCCATAATGTGGTTCAGTAAGTGATAGCTGCCATGTGGTTTTAGAGGTACGCATACGATAGTGCTTCGAGAAGGAAACAAGGTCAGGCGAATCACGCCCGAATTCGAAAGCAACTTAGCTCGATTATTGCGAATGCGAAAGCAACATACTACTCTTTACACACCTCCTGGCGCATCCGCAACCCGCGCTGCGCTTTCATCCTTTCATCCTCCTCGCAGGCATGAAAGACTGACACTTGCTTTAGGATGCGGGAGAAGGGTCGGACGAATCGTACCCTAACTTGAAAGCAACTTCAGCTCGATGTCTGCAAATGCGAAAACAACATGTAAATAGCTTCTCTTATCACATGCGTCCTTCCGCTTCTGCAGCTCGTGTGCTTTAATCTTTTCAGCCTCCTTGCAGGCAAGAAAGGAATGATTTGGACTTGCTTTAGACGACGGTATCTCTTCAAGACTTTCGGAAATTGCTGGCCTCTCTCTGAAGCTGCTTCTTCTTGAGGTACTGCTTCCACGTGCCCTCGGGGTTTATGGATACGGTCGGTTAAACATTTTTGATGAAGCCCAGGTTGGTTGTTGGCTAATCAAACAAATCTGGACTTTGTCTTGCACTAAAGGAAAAATGTCTTTCCTTATCATGTCTGCAATCCAATCCGGCCTGCCGCCACTCGTTCCAGCGTTCCTCCTTTCGCTGTTTTCTGTCTCCCGCCGCCATGGCGAGGTAGGGTTGTGGCGCCAAACTGCTTCTGCGAAACATGGACGAGCAAGCGAGTGAGTGAGTGAGTGAGTGAGCGGGTGAGTGAGTGAGTCAGTGAACAACTTGGGGAGTGAACCGATGACGATGCTGGGGATGATTACAACCGTGATGCTGGATGTACGTGTAAATGCAAAGTGACGTGTCTTCTCCAGGGGGGACAGGGACCAGCCAGCGCAGCTGCAGGACGCCATCATACATGGGCGAGTGCCGCGCACACCGATCACGTAATGCTTATTGCTTGCATATGACTGTTATGTCTGAACTTTCGATGTTAAGTATCACAAAAAATACAGACTGGATTAACATCGGATCCTTGATATGATAGTTTATGTAGATCGTTGTAGAACCCGTTGTACCCCGTGCTCAGAATTGTCAACCAAGTATTGCGGGTATTGATCTCTCATTATGTAGATCCGCAGAAGCGACCGATAAATAATGTAAAGCAAAGAGTCGTGGTTTCGCATGCACGTGTGTTAAACTGACACAAAGACGGTGTTGCTCACCATTATGCGTCAGGAGCTTTGTCTACACGGCCTATAAGCAACGCAGGAGTCTCTTTTCGGCTCCGAGCTGTAGTCGATACTTTCCTAGAACCTTGAGCAGCAAGCATCGATACATGCATGTGACACATGGTACATACGTAGGCATATTGTAGCTTTCGAGCGCCCCGCCCCCTCCTGAGATGTAACCTGGGTGTGTATAGACTCTCGCAGATGTACGGACCTGCAGTGGCCTACAGGCAACGCATAGTGGCATCGGTTGCATCATAGCGCATCAAAACCCGCCAGCCGCGATGTAGACACTCGATTTTGCTAGCAGCTGCTCGAGAAACACATCAGTGGCATCACAGCAACCAGCAAATTAAAAGCCAGGTATTTAGCCAGCCGGATACCATAGACATCTCGCACTGTCGCGAGTCTGGTCCCACCAGATCTGGCTTCAAGGAGACGACCTGTTAAGGCCAGGCAGATGCAGCGATGATGCTATGCAAGGCCGAAAGGGCTTAGAGGGTTTAGAGGGTTTAGCCGGATTAGCGGGTTTAGTGGATTTGGGCTCCCTGCCCGGGCCCCGAAACCCTCTAAACCCTCCAAACCCTCTAAACCCTCAAAACCCTCCTGGCTTAGAGGGTTTAGGGGGTTTAGCTGGTTTGTGCTCCCCACACGGCCCGCCGAACCGTTAAACCCTCTAAACCCTCTAAACCATCTAAACCCACCTGGCTTAGAGGGTTTAGAGGGCTTAGGGTGTTTAGTTGGTTTGGGCTCCCCGCACGGCTCCCCAAACCCGCTGAACCCGCTAAACCCTATCTTCGAGGGTTCAGAGGGTTTTGAGTAAATGGTTTGGGCTCCCCGCCCGGCCCCCCAAACCCGCTAAACTCGCCAAACCCTCTAAACCCTCTAAATCCTCTAAACCCGCCCCCCCAAACCCGCTAAACCCCCTAAACCCGCTAAGCCCGCTAAACCATGTAAACCCTCTAAACCCTCCTGGCTTAGAGGGTTTAGAGGGTTTACGGGGTTCAGCTGGTTTGGGCTCCCCGCCCCACCCCCTAAACCCACTGGTTTAGGGGGTTTAGCTGGTTTGGGCTCCCCGCCCGGCCCCCAAACCCGCTAAACCCGCTAAACCCTCTAAACCCTCCTGGCGTAGAGGGTTTAGAGGTTTAGCGGGTTTAGTGGGTTTGGGCTCCCCGCCCGGGCCCCCAAACCCGCTAAACCCTCTAAACCCTCCTGGCGTAGAGGGTTTAACGGGTTTAGCGGGTTTAGCTGGTTTGGGCTGCCCGCACGGCCCGCTAAACCCGCTATTCCTTCTAAACCCTCTAAACCATTCTAAACCCGCCTGGCTTAGAGGGTTTAGAGGGCAAACCCACTAAACCCGCTTAACCGGTCGCCCGGATCCCCAAACCCACTAAACCTGCTAAAACCCTCTAAACCCTCTAAACCCTCTCAACCCTCTGAACCCACCTGGCATAGTAAACCTCTCCCAGCAGACCCAGAGCAACACATTATACAGAAAGGTTTCTCTTACATATGTATATGTATAAGAACATATATATATATATATATATGTTTATAATACATATCTAAGCAGATATATATATATATATATGTATATATATACATGTATATATACGTAAGAATATATGTGTATATATATATATATATATATATGTATATACACACACACACACATATATAATACATATCTAAACAGACATATATATATATATATACACATGTGTATATACATATATATATATATATATATATGTGTGTGTATATATATATAGATGTACATACATATATACAAAGACACATGTGTGTGTGTATATATATATATATATATATATATATGCTCACCCCACCCCACCCCCCACCCCCCACCCCATGACAGACAGTCGTGGGAAGGGGAAGGGTAGAAGAGTGGCATTGTCTGTGCGTATATATATATATACATGTATTTGTGTTTACTTATTTATAACTATTCGTTTTTACATGAACGCATGTATGCGTGTGTTTGTGTGTATATATATATATATACACATACACACAAGTATACATGTGTGTATATATATATATATATATAGACAGAGAGAGGGCGTTCGGATTCGGATTTGAACTTTCGGCTCCAGTGCCCGATCAGGACACCCAGAAGCCCAAGACCCGTCTTTGCCGAATTCCAGGGTTTAGGGTTTTAGGGTTTTAGGGTTTAGGGTTTAGGGTTTTAGGGTTTTCGGGTTTAGGGTTTCGGATTTAGGGTTTAAGGTTTGGGCTCAGAAGCTACGGACCTGCTTCTTGCTTGGAAGTTCATGGGTAGTCATAAGTAGGGGTATAAGTAAAACACCTGTAGTTATCTCCTACATTCGGGGGCTTAAAACTCCACCTATAACTACCCACGAACCCCTAAGTAGTGTAGACTATAGAGGACTTCATAGTTCGAACACAGCTTTGGGATATGGTGTGAGTTTAGGCTAGTGGAGTTTAGGGATTGGGGTTTCTGGCTTAGGGCTTGCCTTGGATATTGTAATCCAGGTGTTGAAGTTTGGGGTTGTGTGTGTAGCATTGGGTATAGGACCTTTGCCCCTCCCGTACTTGGAGGGTCGGGGGACTTAGTAACTGGTCGTTTTAGGGACTTATAAGTACCATAACCCCAATTAGGGTCCCTTTTAAGGTACTTATAAGTCTACTTACTACCTACTTACTAAGTCCCCCGACCCTCCAAGTAAGTCCCTGAGTATTGTGATTAACTCAAAGCCAACAACCCCCAAGTTGGAGCGCACCAGCCTTTTTTGGTGGCCTTAAAAATTAGAATGGGGTTTTGGGGCCATTATACTATATTTGTGATAAGGAACCCCCAAAACATCAGGACAAGACTCCAAGGATCAACGCCACAGGGACACGGATGATTGGTGTCGGGCCTAGGTCCTAGGAACCAAAAAGCCAAAACCTAAAGCCTCAACCCGAAACGGCCATCGACTTATACACAACTTCAACATAAACCCAAAAAAAAAGCGATTCCCAAACCCGGTAGGACAAAAAGATGCTGTGCTTTGATTGCTTTGTTTATGCATCGTGATAAGAAAGAATGACTGAGCCTAGCATCCATGAGAGCGACCATGCTCTTCCCCACATCTTTTGCTGCCCGCTCCCCTCCATCCAGGAACCTGGCTACGGGTTCCACCGGGATTAGGGTTTAGGGTTTAGGGTTCTTCACGGCGTTAAGGGAGCTTTGTACTACAAGGGTTTTGAAGATTCTGAAAGGATCTAAAGTCTCGTATAGGGATTTGAGAAAGGCTTCTATGTAGAGTTCTACAGGCTTCGCAAGGTATTGTGAGCCTGCACAAAGACTTAGGGTGTTATGGGGTTCCCCAGACCCCCGGGAGGATCTAGAAAGTAAATCCCCTAATTTGGGGCCCTATACTACTAAGGGTACTTTATAGGAACCCCCATTAAGGGATCTACTTTTTGGATCCTGCCGGGGGTCTGGGTCAGCGAGTTTTGCAACGTCCCCAAATCGTCGTATGCGGTTCACTCAGGCTTGCACCAGCGCATCGAAAAAGAAAGGAGGCAGCAGTCGACAGCGCGGTAATATAGCCTAGTATAGTGTGGTGTAGTAACCCCATGCCAGCCATCCAAGCACGCTGAACCTGAGGTTTACGATTCAAGGCTTAACCAGCAACCTGAATGCGCCGCGTTCCGAAACGGAACTCCTTCTAAACCCCAGTTAGACCTCTCAGCCCACAGCTATCCTGCGCCCAAACACTTAACCCCAACCCTTAAAGCCCCAACAGAAGAACCTCAAAATGGGCAGCCTCAGCCCGAACTCAACATACCCTGAAACCTACCTAAACCGCTAAAAACGCCGACAATTTTGGCTCCAAGTTGCTAGCAATCAGACCCTAAATCCTTGTGTCTTGATCTCTGCAATCCCTGAAAAAGCCCGTACAGCCCTAAGGCCTCGAAACCCTTGCAGAGCCCCATGAAGCCCTGGGAGAATCTGTAAAACGCTGTGAACCGAAAGGAAACTCCATGAACCCAATCCGAACCGCTTTGTTGCATAACAGGCCTTCCCAAGAAGGGAATCTTCCAGTACGGAATCCTGAATCGATGGGTCGATTCTATAATTTCTTGATATAGGGATCGGAATAACTACGAATCCCATCGGCTTCCTATTTGAGTGATTGTCAAAATTATGGTCCATTTTTGGGTACCCTACATATTAAGTGCCGTATTATATCACGATTTTCAAAAAGGAACCCTAATTTTCGACAACCACCCATTTGTACCAGTACTATATCATGGTATAATACACCACAAAGACCTGTGCTAGTTGTTCAGACCCCAATATCACACACTTCTGTCCACTTTTGCAAGGTGCTCGCGCATATGAGTAGTTCTCCAAATTAAGGTCCCGTTTTTTGTAGAACGCCAGAATAGTACGGCACCCTTTTAAACAAGACCCGAAAGGAGACCCTGATCCAGAGCACTACGCATAATTTAAGGGCCTGAATAATTCGAACAGGGTTTCGGGGCCCGATACACTATAATTAGCTAAGGAAACCCGTAATTATTACGGCTCCCTATATTACAGTACCCTTATAGATCCCTTAAAGTAACCCTTGTAGGCCCCTTTAAAGGAACCCCATTCTGATTATTGAGGCCACCTGTATTATGCTTTTTAGTGCCCTGGCCCCTGGCCCGCTTTGCTGAGGAGGGTTGAAGGGTTCAGGGTTTGGTGGGTTTTTTGGTTTTGGGTTTAGGGTTTGGGATTAAGGATTTTGGATTAGGGTTTAGGGTTTGAGGGTTTAGGGTGCGGTTGAGGGGTTGGGATTTAGGTGTTAAGGTTTAGGTCGTATATAAGGTTCTTGGATTAAGTGGGGCTTCGGGTTCGGATTGTAAGATCTGGGGTTTAGGGTTTAGGGTTCAACGCTTAAGGTTTTTTTAAACGGGCGTAGGGTGTAGGGTTTTACCGGACACGCTCCAAATCCCAAGGCCTAAACCCTCAGTTACACCTCGAAACCCTAAAAAGTTCATGGCTTGAGATATAGCCGTGAGGAATCGGGCTCAAAGACAACAGAAACTAAAACGCGAGACGCACATGCACATGTTAGGGGCATCATGCTTCGTGCCCAGGGGGGGAGTGAAACGTTTTAGGGTTTAGGGTTTAGGCCATTGCAACTTGCGGGTTCATCAGCCCTGGCGCAGGGCGCAAACTCAAAGTTCCAACCACACAAACAGTCGATCTATGCAGTCCTCGTGACATAGGTTGAGCATACACCGAAGCCCTGAACCCTAAACTTGCGAACTTAAACCGTCAATTTCAAGCCTAAACCCTAAACCCTAAACCCTACACCCTAAACCTCTAAACCCTAAACCCCGAACCATTTTTACCACTCACCTTTGACCCAGAGTCGGGATTGCCATACGGGTCCCGAGGCAGTCCATAAGCCTGTGCACATCCTTCACTAAGGAGCTGTCCTGGGCTGCCGGTTTAGGGTTTTGGGCTCAGTAGTAGTAGTAGTAGTAGTAGTAGTAGTAGTAGTAGTAGTAGTAGTAGTAGTAGTAGTAGTAGTAGTAGTAGTAGTAGTGGTAGTAGTAGTAGTAGTAGTAGTAGTAGTAGTAGTAGTAGTAGTAGTGGTGGTAGTAGTAGTAGCCGTAGCAGTAGCAGTAGCAGTAGCAGCAGCAGTAGCAGTAGCAGTAGCAGTAGCAGTAGCAGTAGCAGTAGCAGTAGCAGTAGCAGTAGCAGTAGCAGTAGCAGTAGTAGTAGTAGTAGTAGTTGTTGTTGTAGTAGTAGTGGTAGTAGTAGTAGTAGTAGTGGTGGTGGTAGTAGTAGTAGTAGTAGTGGTAGTAGTAGTAGTAGTAGTGGTGGTAGTAGTAGTAGTAGTACTCGTAGTAGTAGTGGTAGTAGTAGTAGTAGTAGGAGTAGTAGTAGTTGTTGTTGTTGTTGTCGTCTTCGTCGTCGCCGCCGCCGTCGTCGTCGTAGTAGCAGCAGCAGCAGTAGCAGTGGGAGCAAGAGGAGTGGTGCTAATTGCATCAGTGATACGACCAAGAAGACGAGCACGAACTATACTTGCGAAGAGTGGCTAACAGAGTAACAGTCCAAACGTGACCTAGCATCCATGTCTCTTGCTAGAAGCTGACGTTTCTCCGGATGCAGTGAAGAAGCTCTCGTCTCCAGCATGCGCAGCTCTTGCCCAAAAGCAGTCTTGCAAAGGACGTCGGCAGTGTACATGGGAAGGAGCTCCTGGGACGAGACTGCCGGGATTTACGGTTGGGGCATGGGCGGTTGAGGGTGGTTGGCGGTCCTGTAAGCTTCTAGGGTACCAGCATATGTGTGTATATATATATATATATGTACATATATATTTATATTTATATATATATATATGCACATATGTATATATGTAAACACACACATCTATCTACATATACATAGATGGAGGGAGAGAGAGAGAGAGAGAGAGAGAGAGAGAGAGAGAGAGAGAGAGAGAGAGAGAGAGAGAGAGAGAGAGAGAGAGAGAGAGATAGAGGTAGAGGTGCACATATGGTCACGCGCTGCGCGGCCCCCCCCCCTCCCCCCCCCAAAGGTCAATGGTCCGGATATAGGGTGGGACCCCACCTCGCCTGTGGTGTGGGGTGTGGGGTTCCTTTTCCCCCTGTGGGGTGGTTGTGGGGTTTTGGGGTTTAGGGTTTAGATTAAGCTTTTGAGTGTTGAGTTTACTGTTACAAGGTATAGCGCTTCGAGTCGACAAGGGGCTTGGGGAGGATTTGCGGTGTATGTTCTGCTTTAGGCTTAGAGCCTGCAGTTAGGTGGGGTTTAGGGTTGGGTATAGGGTTTGAAGTACAAGTTAGGGTTACTCCAAACAGGAGCACGCGCTGCGTTATAGGGTTTACGGCTTGCTTGCGAAGGGCTTGCCCTGGCCGCGAGCACCACCCCACCATCCAGTGGCAGCTTTCCGCAAACGCCAGCCCCCCCCCCCCACCCCTAGCAGACCATACCATTGGGGGGGGGGGGGCTGGGAACGCCAGACGCCTGACCATATATGGACTTCGAAAAGACTTGATTTCGGGGTTGTGGACTGTGCGCTGTAGAGATCAAGGGGGAACGGTGAAGGCTTCCAAGTGCGGGGTCAACATAGGGCTGGAGGATCGGGGGGTATCGCTTGACACCATCTCATCAAGCTTGGCAGGCCGTCTCATACGGGAGTTCCGAAAATTAGGGGTACCTTATTTGGGAGCCCTTATCTTGAGGATCCTACTATTTAGGGTGCTATATCAGGGTCCCCTATTTTCGGAAACTCCCATATTTTCTACCTATGCAGGCTCCCATCGGCCGTTTGATCAAACGGATTTAGGTCCTGTCTCCTCTGCAAAGCACTGCACCGGTGTAATATACTTGGAGGGTCGGGGGACTTAGTAACTGGTTATTTTAGGGACTTATAAGTACCATAACCCCAATTAGGGCCCCTTTTAGGGTACTTATAAGTCTACTTACTACCTACTTACTAAGTCCCCCGACCCTCCAAGTAGGGACCCTGATAATTATATTCATTAAGGCCCCTATTTTATTCAGAAAGTGTTGGGGGGGTTCGGATAGAGAAACCCAGGGTAAACCCCTAACAGACTGAAAGGAATCAGACCGGCTCAACCCAGAGAGCCCAATACCCCTTAAGAAAGGAATATTGCTTAACTTATATAGGGGTTCATAGTATGAATTAAGCTATATTCCTTAATTACGGGGTAATGGGCTCTCTGGGAAGTTAAAGAGCCTTGTCGCAACTCGATGATCTTGCTGCACCAAACGGCCAAGACAAACAACGGCAGCAAGCTGAGGGTTTAGGGTTTAAGGTCTGGGGTTTAGGCCTGGGTACGGCCCCCATACAGTAACAGTCTATGATAGGGCTACTATTAAGGGCCTTACATATCTATACTATGAATATTATCCAACTGTTACTGAGTGGGGGCCGTACCCAAGTTTAGGCTTTAGTTTTTAGGCCATCAGGAGAGCTATGAAGGACCCAGAGAGCCCATGCAATCGACCTTATGCACTGGAGGATGGCTTATTGCGACACCTTAGCTCGCGAACCCCCAAACGCGAGTTTCCGAAAATAGGAAGACCCTAACATAGCACCCTAAATAGTAGGATCCTTATTTTCAGGACCCCGAAATAAGGTACCCCGAATTTTCGGAAACCCTGAAACCGCAAAACCATGCTTCTCACGAAGCATTGGCTCGAATCTCAGGACCGTACACCCCAGAATCCTGGACCAGAAGGAAACATTGGTAATGTAAACCCCTGATTTGCGGAACCTCATTTTCCTTAAGGGCCACTATAGAAAACAAACCTACCTACCCCTAAACCCTAAACCCCTAAACCCCTAAACCCCTAAACCCTAAACCCTAATTCCCTAAACCCTAAACCCGAACATAGGGCGCTATTAATCAGGCGTCGGCATTGGTCTTAGGGGATTCTACGAGAAAACCCTAAACCCTCCCTTTGCCTTTAACCCCACAAAAGATTCTTTAGAGTACCCCCGAAGGAACCCTTATGGGTTCCTCTAAGGGTTCCAAGGGTTCCTCTTCCAGTTGCTTTGAAGATTTACTGTAAGGCTACCTTAAGGGACTTTGAAACAGGCAGGTGAGCATGAACTTGGGTGTTCCTGTATTTACCTAAATCTGTCCTCCCAATCCGTGGGAAGCCTTATACATGCCCTACGGAACCCTCGCAACCTCCCGAAATCTAAACCCCGATAGAAACAGTTTATAAGAGCCAAGCTGTGAGGCCAGGTGTCGGAGAAATTGGTCTCGCCCTTGCTTTTGCAGTCGGCATCCAGGGCAGCAAGGAATTTCTCCGTGATTTCAGATATGGCAGGTGCGTAGCTGCCCTGAAGACAAAAAGCTTGTCCAAAGGTTTCCTTAAAGGCGCTACCTGGGTTACCTGGGGGCTCAACATACGTGCCATAGGGGTTTCATTTTGGGTTGCTGGCTGGAGGGTTTGAAATTGAAGGGTTGATTGCATGGACCTCGGAAAATTTCGAACCAGCCACCTGTCAGGGCTTGGGGCATGCTGCTCACCAGGACTCACAACATCCATCATTGAAGGGGTATCGGGCCATCTGGGTACGATTTCATTCTCATGGCTGCGGTTGCTTCTCATGCCGCAGTTGCTGGAATCTTGCTCACAACCTGGTGCTTTGTTGTTGAAACCCAGATCTGAACCTAAAGCCAAAGCCGACACCCTTAAACCCGAAACTAAAGCCTAAACCTTAAAGCCTAAACCTTAAACCCTGAACGCTAAACTAAAGCCTAAACCCTAAACCTTAAACCCTAAACCCTAAACTAAAGCCTAAGCCCTGAACCCTAAACTAAAGCCTAAACCCTAATCGTCTGCAGACCAACTGAATCACATCTTTCCAACCACCGACACCGACCTCTTAGGGCAATGCAGGTAGGGGCCTTTGTTAGGGTTTAGGGTTTAGGGACCTTAATACTTACAAACAGGGTTCTCTTAAAGTGATCCTTTTAAAGGGTCTACCATAAGTAGAACAGGGTTCCTTTAAAGTGTTCCTTTTAAAGGGTCTACAATAAATTGGATTTCAGTACAAAGGGCGGTCTCTGAACTCTGCAAAAACAGCCAGAAAGACGAAACACTTGATCCTAATCCCGAAACCCCTGAACCCGACTCCAGAACCCTCAAAACCTCTGAACCGTAAGCCCTGAACCCGAAGCTTAGCCGTAAACCCTCTCAACCCCAAGCCCTGTTGAAGCTCAGGTGCCACATTCTTGGCGTTGAAGGCAGGGGCCATGATGCCTTGACGGTGCAGTAGACGGTTTCGGGCACAGGATATCGGGCTCAGAGTTAAGATTTATGGTCTAGGTTTAAAGAGTCATCCTCGCAGACTAGTATCTAGATGTTGGGTCCTAGAGTGTGGAGCTTGGGCTGTAGGTGTAGATTTGAAGATTTCGGGTGCAGCAACATCCTTCTCCGTTCAGAGTCCTGCGTGCCTGCCACAGGCTTGTGTCAAAAACATCAGACACTAAACCTGAACTCCCACACCCTAAACCCCAAAACCGAAACTCTATTCTTTCCCTGTACGATAGATCGATCCACGAGAAAGCAACTTGAGAGGCGACTGCACGGACTTTCACTACTTAGGGTTTGGGGGTTTAGGGTTTAGGGGTTCAGGTTCGGTGTTCGAGAAGGTATACATATAAAAACGATACCATACATCGTAACAGGGAAAAACGGTCCAAGCTTCGGCGCTCGCGCTTCCAGCGGTCCCCCTCGGAGAAGAAAACGCCTTGGATGACCCCATTCGCTGCACTCGCCAGGCTGCCTCGGGTGGATCGCAGAACGGGCCGTTGTTTTAGGGTTTAGGGCTAGATCAAAGGAGTTTAGGGTTTTGGGGTTTGGGGTTTAGGATTTAGGGTTTACTCGGAGGTTCATGTGTTGTTATAAGTGAGGTTATAAGTACAGTTATCCTACTGATAACCCAAGTTATAACTACCCATGAAGCTACAAGTAAGGCTAGATCACAGAGTTTGGGAGCGTTTCGGAGGAGCTGCTGATAAAAGTTCAACGAGGGGATCTTACAATTGTAGAAAGAAGCTCAAGAGCAAGAAGCCCTTGAGGGACAGCATGAATCATATAGGGGCATTAGTAAGGAATTAAATATAGGGTGTATTTGGGGGGGGGGCATTCTACGATAGTAAAAATGAGGAACCATTCTACTATGGTTATAATAAGGAACCCCCAAAAATAGTATTTGTGAAGGAGAGGGGCCCTACTAGTGATCGATGCTGTTTTAGGGGTTCTTTTAAAGGGTTCCTTTAAGGGGTTCCTTAAAGGGCTCTATAAGGGATCTATGAGAGGGTTCTGTTAAGCAGCGGGCTTAAAATTACCTGCACGATTTTGGGATAGTGGCCCCCCAAACCCTGTTCTACATAATTATTAAGGCCCTTCTAGTAGGATCATTATTCAGTGTTGGGACCTTCCCGGTTTAGGACCGAGGGTTTAGAGTTTGGGTGTTGGGCTTCTACCCCCTGTCAAAGGAAGACTGAAAACATCGTGACCGGAAACCTACATCGTTTAAGGCGTCTTCCTCGAAGAAAAGTCATTCGACAGCCTCCCTGCATGTCGGGCATTCAGGGTTTATGCTTCACCTGGAAGAATAAGCCTCTAAACGACCAACTTAAACGGTTACACACCCACCCCCCCCCCCCGAACCTCAAGGGCCCAGCGCTTGGGCTGAAAGCTCAGGGCTCAGGGTTAATAAAGATGCTGGGCTGGGTGACTGGCTGCTGTTGCTGTTGGTCTCTGATCTCCCCAGAAATCGATGCGACTTTCACGGAGGGCTTTACACAACAACACTCAACAAGCTCCCTTTGCATGTGCGGTTTGCGGCTTCGAGCATCTTCGGGCTGGAAGCATCTCCGGAGCTATTCAGGTTTGATCAAGACTCAGCACCACAGGTAAACAAACAACCCCCGACTCAACCCTAAAGCGCTGAACCCCAAACCCTACACCCCTTAACCCTAAACCTTAGCCCCAAACCCTGAACCCGAAATCCAACACCCCCCAAACCCTGAACCGTAAGCCTTAAGCCTTGAAATCTTAAAACCCAAGCCCCAAAATCCACTGTAGGGGCCTAAATAACTACCTACACTCTTCTGGTGGTTCCTTACTATAATTGCAGGTTAACGGTCTCCAAAACCCTACTCTCATTATTAAGGCCCCTATAGTAAACCCTAAACCCTTATAGACTCCCTACAGATCCCTTTAAAGGACCCCTATAACCCCACATATAACTACCCATGAACCCTAAACCCTAAACCTCCAAAAGAGCCGGCGGGCCGGGCTTGGTGACCTTGAAAGGTCGCAGAGACAGCACAGAGCTGATCGCCTCAGAGAGAGTTGTCGCAGCGAGAGGGGCTTTGGGGTTTAGGGTCTAGGGGGGTTTATGAGGCGCAGGGGTTAAACCCTAAACGCTAGACTTAAGGCTTTAGGGGTTAGGATTTAAGGGTTTAGGGTTGAAGGGTTTAGGGGGTTTAGGGGTTAAGGTTGCTTCGGGGTTCTCTTAAGGGTTCCGTTAAGGGAAATCTAAAACAACCTTGAAGGAACCCTTAAAGGGCCCCTTATTTCAAAAGGAGTGGAAGTTTTAGGGCTTCTGGGCTTTAGGGCCTTAAGGTCTTAGGGTCGAGGGTTTTTGGAGTTTACTTAGGGCTTAAACTATTTCCAGGATAGCATCTGTTGACTTAGAACTTGAGGTTACGGGTCCCTTCGTTGGGGTTCCTCCCGCCCGTAAACCCCTCAACCCTATAGCAAACACTTTTCTTCACTTGCGTTACCTTACCTAACCAATGGTTTTCGGGTTCCCTGGGCTCTTTAGCTCCTTATTCAATAGGGATTATCATCATCCCTGGGTCCTTAGCTCCTCCAATATCAAAGGTTAGTTACTGAACAACACTTCCTAAGGTCCCTTTTGGGGTAAGGCCTAAGCTGCTCCTCCTCTACCCAGAGAGCCCCTAATCCCCTTAATTAAGGAATATAGCCTAAATCATAATATGAAGCCCTATATAATTCAAGCCATATTCCTTAGTTAAGGGGTATTGGGCTCTCTGGGTACCACCCCCCAAGAGGAGAGCCCAATGCTTGTTTGAGGGACAGGGTTTCGGGTTTGGGGGTTAAGGAGTGCTTCTCAACGAATGAGCAGAAACCCTGTGTGATTTCTAGGTGTTACCCTTTTGCCCAACAGCTCGTATGACTGCTTCCGGCGCCTCTGACTCTACTCGCTGTCTCCCGTCTTTGTAAAGACCAAAACAGCCCAAACAGTGTGAACTTGCTTGAACAACTTGGGAAAAACTCCGAAAAGGCAAGAAGCTGTACGCATGCATGAGAATAGCTGCAAAAATAAATCACCAGAAAGCCCCCAAACAATCCCCTGAATCCCCGGCAGAAACTGACCCGGAACCCACACCCTCAGTGCAACACACTAAACCCTGCCCCTCAAAGGACAGGAATCCTTGAAGGAATCTCCCCTAAAGGACCCAGAAAACAAGCCTTTCATGAGCCCTCGAGCCCTAAAGGAACTGCTGATGGACAAAATCCTGCATTACCCATTATAAGGAATTGTACCATAGTTCCCATAGCTTAGAGTCCTTAGGGTCATGCAGGATTTTGTCCATCAGCAGAACCCTCTTACAGTCACCCCAAACCCTTCCGAACAGCCGCACCGCGCCTCCCAAGAACAGCAGACGACGAGCCGGCTCCCGGCCTCGGGTTTGTGTTTAGGGTTTACGTTTCGGGGCTTAGGATTTGGGGGGTTTAGGGTTTAGGATTTGCGACTTAGGATTTGGGGGGTTTAGGGTTTAGGATTTGGGGGTTTGTAGTTTCAGTTTCGGGTTTGGTCTTGTGAGGGGAATTTGATTCAGGAAGGCTTTTGGGCTTGTGGGTCGAAAGTTTAGGGCTTAGGGTTTGGGGCCATGTTGGGTTTGGGATTCAGAGTTTCGGGTGGTGCTTTATTCGGCTGCGCGTTTTGCTGTAAGTATGGACCGTGACTAGCATTATGAAGCTTCACAACAGTGACGGTAGCTTATAGTTCAGTCTACCTTCCGGAATTACTGTGGTTCTGTTGCCTTCTGCAGTGGTCGATACATTTCGGGAGTGGACATCGTGTGCATGGGCGCAGCACCGTTCGGCTCTGGCTACGGGGCGCTGCTCAGCTCTTGCAATGATGTGAAACCCGCTTTGCTCCGTTATGCCGCAGGTCCGCATTGGAGCACCGCGCGTAGACCCTAAACCCTAAAACCCTAAACCCTAAAGCCCTAAACCCCCTAAACCCTAAAGCCCAAAACCCTGAAACCCTAAACCCTAAAGCCCTAAACCCCCTAAACCCTAAAGCCCTAAACCCCCTAAAACCCTAAACCCTAAAGCCCTAAACCCCCTAAACCCTAAAGCCCTAAACCCTAAAACCCTAAACCCTAAAGCCCTAAACCCCCTAAACCCTAAAGCCCTAAACCCGCCTAAAACCCTAAACCCTAAAGCCCTAAACCCCCTAAACCCTAAAGCCCTAAAACCTAAAGCCCTAAACCCTCAACCCCTAAACTCCTCAACCCCTCAACCCCAACCCCTGAACCCTCTTGTCGGCTACTCAGGAGGTCTCTCCTCTTCATGGTCTCCGCTCGCCGCGGCGGCTTTGTTTCACAACAGAAGACGAAGAGCTACTTTGCTGCCGTGTGCATGGTCGCGCTCACGACCTACTTGGGGTTGGAGGTTTAGGGTTTGTAGGGGTTTAGGGTTTAGGCTTTTGGGGCGGAGGAGTTTAGGGCTTCGGGTTTAGGATTTAGGGGCCTCCAGGGGTTTGCTTATCAGCCGCACAGGTTGTGTCAATGAACCTTCTTCCGCGACGTAGTCTGCCGGTGTGGCACCTGCCTGTGTGCTTGTGCTTGCCTTTCCGCTGTTCTGGTACACCACCAACGAAGTGAGCTGCGCGATGTGGCGATCTACTGAACCCTAAACCCTAAACCCTAACCCTAAACCCTTAGGCTGCTTTTCGCTGATCCCTGGTTCAGGAGGACTGCTTCCGCATCCAGGCACAACATCTACCCATCAGGTGCCGAAAGGGTGCAGGAATGACTGGGCTCTTGTTAAGGAACTTGGTTTGAGTTACCATAATAAGGATCCATGGTAAATAACATGGTTTCCTTGTTATGGTAACTTAAACTAAGTCCTTTAACAAGGACCCAGATGGGCGTGGAGCTTAGGATTCAGGACGTTCGGATTTTAAGATTGTCAACAGGGTAGTCGAAGGCCCTGTATTTTCGGGCCTTCGACTACCCTGCAAAATATACCCCGAATACCTTATCAGGGCTCTATTCAAGGCACTCCGGGCTGCTCTAGTTACTGCAGTTGATGATATATTACCTTAAGGACCCTAAACTATGGGAATCATGGCATATTCTCTACTATGGGTTATGCAGGGTTTGTACACTAATGCAGGGTTTATACCATCAACCATAGTTCGGGCCTTCTGCTTGGGTAGGCTAAGCCGGCGACTAAGTTCATCTCGAAGACGCCTTCGTCTCCGTGGAGATCGGAAAACTCGTCAAGCTTCTTGGCGGTGTCCCTGCCGCCTGGTTTAGGATTTTTAGAGTTTAGGGTTTAGGGTTTTTGTGTTTCAAGGCTTAACAGTTGAGGAGTTTGGGACTTCACGTCCGGGGTTTGGCGACTCTTGGGTTGAGAGTATACGATGTGTGCGCCTGGAAAGACTTAGGAGGCCGTGAAAGGACGTCACTGCAATACTCGTAAGCACACCGAGCCCCTTCAATGGTTTGAAAGCCGTCTCAACCCCTAAACCCTAAACCCCAAGCCCAGGCCTCAAGGTGTCGGTGCTTAGGGCCGTAGCGTGCTGCTTTCAAGGTTTGGGCCCAGGTGTCCGATCGTCAACGGCCCTGAAGCCCGTAAAAGAAGTTGAGAGAAGGATGGCGATGCGGTTTTGTTGTATGTTCTAGGGTAGGTATCTTTAAATGGTTTAGGGATCGGGGTTCAGGAACTCGTTCTTCAAGCTTGGTTCAGGATGCTTGATAGGTCTTCAGCGGTACCCGGGCAGAAGGTAACATTTTCGCGCTTGAACTTGACAATAGAGAAATGCTCAGCTGCATTCTGCTTCAATCTAGAACTCTAGAACGCATACTTGCGTTCCTGTCCTAAACCTCTAGACTCTCATCCCGAAGCTAAACCTCCATAATATAAGGGCCTTAATAGTTAGAATAGGGTTTTGGGGCCATTAGACTATAGCTATACTAAGGAGTCCACAAAACAGTATAGGTAATTGTTAAGGCCCCTTTATTACTCCTACCTGAATGCAAACCGGCTTGGGCCACAACCCGGGCCCAACTGCGGCAGAACACCCAGCAGCCAGACGCCGGGCACAACACCTGGAGGGATTGGATGTTCGAGGGGTGTACTTGGAGGTTCATGGATAGTTATAACTAGGGTTATAAGAAGGATAACTATAGTGAAAACCCACATAAGGGGACTTATAGCCCCACTTATAACTACCCATGAACCTCGAAGTAGGGCTTCGGGATGCTGTAAGGTACAAGGGCTTTGTAAGGCTTTATCGAAGAGTCTGTAAGAAATCTACAGCCTTACGGTCTTGCGCTTGAAACATAGGGGTTTGAGCTTTGGGGTTCTGGGGCTTCCTGTTCCATGTCTACTCGGTTTAGAGGCTACTGTTTTAGGATTGGACAGTCCAGGGTCCGGTTTGAGAGTCTCAGGATCTTGTTGGAGAGCTGCTTGCTGTCGGATTTCATCAAAACAGGAGAATTGCAGGCCATCCGAGCTTAGAACTACATCCTACCTTGCTTGAAGAGTTGGGCTATTGAATTGCTGATCGAAGCCCCCCCGAACTCATGCCACCCAAGACCCTGAACCCTTCACCACAAGCCCAGAAGAACCGACGGAAAGTTTGCGGTTTAGGGGCTTGGGGAGCAGGGTTTGGTACTTAGGGTTTCGGGCTTTTGGGTTGAGCGTTTCCAGCTCCAGGTGAAGGGCACAGTTTAGGGGTGTTATGGGTTTAGGGATTTAGGGATATTTAGGGGTATTATGGGTTTAGGGGTACTATGGGTAGTTTGGGTTTAGGGATTCATAGTTTAGGGGTTTTGGGCCTGGGGTCGAGGGTTTTCGTGCCAAGGCTACGGAAGGGTTTGGGGCTGTGAGTTTCCGCTTCGGGGGTGTGGATGGGGGCGGCAGAAGATAGAGTGGCACATCACCCCAATGCCACAAAATCCTAATCCCGAAAAGGAACCTGCTTGGGATGAACTAAGCTGCTGGAAGGTCCGGAATTGAAGGAGACAATTGGACATGACATGTGGGGCGGCGGCTAAGTTGAGGCTTCGGAGGTGCCAGCGTTGGGTTCGAGGGGGACCCCTGAACCCAGAGAGCCCAATCCTCTGGGAACTCAAAAGGACACCTGACAGTACAAGAACGCAGCCCGGGCACGGAATCGTTCGATCTTCGGTTGCAGCCACCACCTCCATCGAAGGCTAAAAGCGTGTAATGTAGGGGCCTTAATAATTAGAATAGGGTTTGGGGGCCCAGAATACTATATACTTACCAAAGAAGGAACCCCCAAAATATTATCGGGCCCTTACATTACGGCACTTTGGCCACGCTCGAAGGCACGGAACAGCTGGTTTCAGCTTCCAGGTTCAAGGTAGTCGGTTGAGGGATTGAGGGCCAGAATCTTCCGTCACTGGACCACCCCAAAGTGAGCGATGCAATATCAATGCGATTCTGTGGCCCGAAGCACCTCATTATCGTCATCGCCATCAAACTTCTCAAAAATCTAATCCCTGATGCCGCTTATAAAGATATAAATGCCACAAACTTAACCCCTAATACCCTCAAAGACGCTAAAACCATCCCATGTCTTTTAACGTCCAAAAACCCATAATTAAACACTGAAGCCTATAATGTTTAGACTGTGATCATGGTCTTCCTCCGACTTCCAAGACCTTCCAAATCCCTCAATTAAGGAATATACTTCCTACTTCCTATTTTCTAATCGGAGCTCTAATACGATTTAAGGTATATTCCGTCATTAAGGGATTTTGGAGAATTCGGGACACCTTATTTTTGGGGGGGTCCTTATATTAAGGATCCACTATTTAGGGTGCTATATTAGAGTCCCCAATTTTCGAAAGTCTTGGGTCGTCCCACCTTAGGACCATGGCCGCCGAGAGCCCCGCGCCCAACGCCGCGGCGTGGCGGGGCTCGCGGAGCCACTCTGCAAACCTCGGGGGTCATCCTTCAGGATCCTGTGGGGATTTTCCGCGGTTTAGGGTTTAGGGTTTAGAGTTTGGGGTTTAGGGCTTAGAATAGGGTTTGGGTTTGGGGTTTAGGTTTTGGGGTTTGGGGTTCAGAGGACCCCGCAGGTGTTCCAGAAAGATGACATGGTTTCAGCATCGGAAGTCCATGGTTCAAGGGGTCGGTTTCTGTCGTTTCTGGCAAGGCGATCGGAGTGGTTCCAAACAGGTAAAGTGCTTACTACCCCAATAAGCCACAGGAATAAAAGGTTAAACTTGTCGATTCCTACTAAACTGTAAGAACCCAGAAAGTTCAAAGGTTTGGTATTGGGGGTCTAAGAGTGTGTAGGGATCCAGATATTGGCATTGAAGGTTCCCGGGTGACTATCGATTCAGATGCCTCGGTGGTGCTGTTGGGCTTGACAAGTTTGAAACACCAAAGGCACTAGAAACCCAAACCCTAGCCGTACAGAATTTAGGCAAGTTTTCTCAAACATTTTCCGACCAAAGAAGCATACTTGTCTTGCTGGGAGTAAAAATTACCATCTCATCATCGCCAACACCGTTGTCACCGCCAAGGCCATCGTCGCCACCATCGCCGTCGTCATCGCCATGACCCTGACAATCGCCGCCGTTATCACCATTGCCATCATCACCACTACTACAACAACAAACATCACTGCCAAAAACCACATCATTATTAGTAGTGCCGTCGCGATTTTGACTGCCATAACTACAACCACCACCACCACCACCCTCACCACCACCACCACCACCACCACCACCACCATGACAACCTCCATCAACACCACCGCCACCGCGAGAACTATGTCGGTGCCGTCATCATCACCAATGTCCTCAACATCCCCAACCGTCATCATGAACAAAATAAATCAACATGAAAAGTCCGGTATACCTTGAAGTGGCACCCATGTCAGCAATATCGAATTTTAAACGTAAGTCAAACCTGTTCGTGTATATGATCAAAAGAAGTGGTAAACAAGAAGTCCTACTTTCTGTCGAGATGCTGCATCAGTTGCATCATCCCGTTTTAGCTGCTTGCAGCCTAGGGAAGCTGTTCTGCGAACGCTGGAGCCAAATGCCACGTTTGTTTCACATCGCGCGCATAAAGCTTCGTCCGCAAAATCTAAACCCAATCCCTAGAGCTTACACCCTGAGGCCTGAGCCCTAACGCGCAACTGCAGAACTTAGACCCCGAACCCCAGAACCTAAGCCCGAAAATCTAAACCCTCACGCCCAAACCCTGAGCCCCACAAACTGAACCCTGAACCTGACAACCTAAAACCTGGTTTAGGCACCTGAATTAAAACCCTGGTCCCCGATTCTTGAAACCCACAACCTGAACCCTAAAGCCTGGACCCTACGGCCTTATATCCTAAGCTCTAACCTCCGAACACCAAATCCTAAGGCCGAAACCCTAAACCCTAAAGGCCTGAACCTTGAATCCCAATCCCCGACACTTCGGCGCTAATCCCTACAAGTAAAGTTTCCGTCTTAGGGCTTAGGGTTTAAGAAAGTCTTTAAGGTTGTTTGGTTTAGGGCTTACAGGGTTTAGGGTTTAAGGGCGGGAGACAAGACAAACAAGCTGTGTGGTCCCTGGGGTGTTTGGGGGGGTTTAGTTTGAAAGCTTTGGGTTAAAGGCTTGAAAGGTGGACAGGTTTGGGAAGGGGTTGCGCGCGGGCTGTTGGATTAAAGGGAAGTGTATGAAGGTTTCACTGAAGATTTGCAATTCGACCCTAAACCCTAAACCGTAAGGATTAGTTTCGGAGGGATCGAAGATTCAGTTCGGGCTTAGGGTGATTCAGGGCTCAGGGACTGGGAGTTTACTTTACTGAACTTAGAACCCTAGCAAAAATCTTAATTTTAGCTTTTTCTTAAGGATTATAATAACCAAAAATTAACAAATATTTCTAAGTACCCCTAAGTTTAGGGTTGTGTAGGGAATGAGGGTCACTCGTGGAGGGTTTGGATTAGGACTCAGGCTTTGTGAGCGGGTCTTCGTGTTTGGGTTCAGTGGATGCCACGCGCCGACATGTAAAAATCTGGACTTCCGCCGACATGTAAACATGTGCCAACATGCTAAACAAACAACTTTCCGCATGTCGGATGAAAAAATACGCATAAATACGCCCCTAAACCTAAACCCTAAACCCTGAAACCCTAAACCCTTAAATACGTATGATATAGAAGCCTTAATAATAAGAATAAGTGTATGGGCCACCTTATTCTATTCTTAAAGGAAGGAACCCCCAAATAGTACTGGTAATTCTAAAGGCCCCTTATAGTACAAGCGGCTCAACACTGAAGCTGAGATTGTGTCTCACCAAGGAAACCAAAGAAGGTATAGTATAGGGACCTTAGTAGTTAGAACAAGGTTCTTAAACAGGGTCCTATCAGGGTTGCTATAAGGGGTATTATGGGGCCCAGAGACGACATGTAAGTGTGCTGCACACACACCCCTCGATGTATTGCAGCAGCAGTGCAAATGCATCGTCGAACCTGTGTTCCAAGTCAGCCATGACTGTGTCGGATATTGTGTCCAGATCCAACACTTTTCCAACAAATGCCGCCTGACAAATAAAAGGTCCAGCTTTGTGGCTCGTCCTCTCCGGGTGCTGTTGTCAGTTCGCAAGCACCACAGTTGTCGAGGTTGCGGCCTCTTAACCTATAGGGCCTAGGTCTCGAAATCAATCGCAAACCCACAAGCGCTTTGAAACTTTATTCCAGTGTGTAGTTCGAGGCCCTGTCCACGAACCCTGCCTACAAACAAAAGGCCGAGCTCTACTCAACCACCCAGGGGATAGGAGCCCACGAAGCTTGAAGTTGGGAGTTGAAGGTTCGAGGTCCCGTGTCTGGTAAGTCCTAAGCCTACACCCAAAGATCTCAGTGCTATGACTGTAAGCTACGACACTAAGCTGCAAAACCTGTGGGGGCGCCGTGGATGTTTAACTCATGGACCTGTTGCTTGCATTCAGGTCTTCTCATCAAGGGTTGGGGTCTATTGGGACTAGAAACCCAGACCTTCTAAAATCCCTTAATCAAGCGATATACCATCAGTTATCATACGATCCCCAATACGACGTAAGGTATATTCCTTATTTAAGGGATTTGGGAAGGTCCGGGAAGTTCTGCTTCCGGACCTGGCATGCAGGCCGCCGGGTCAAAAGGCGTTGAGGCAGAGGCTTGGCGTTTAGGCTTATAGTGTCGGAACCCTGATATCTAGAATGGGCATTTGGACTCCTTTATCGTTTACCTGTAATCAGGAACCCTGAGGAAGACTATTGGGAATTGTTAAGGCCCCTGTAATATGTGCAACTCATCGCTCTGGCTCTCAAACCAGACCACAAACTGCCAAAGTTCCGAGCCCCGGACCTGGAATCCTAAACCCTAAACCTCAAGCCCAAAATCATAAACACTCTCCTTAATAATATTCATAGAGAAATATAAAAGTGCAAAAATTATATATATATATATATATATATATGCTTATATATATATATGCATATGCATATATGTATATGAACACACACATATATATATATATATATATATGAACATATGTATATGCATATATGTAGAAGATTTCATGTATAGATGTATATACAGATGTGTGTATATATATACACAAGCCAACTCTGGGCCGCACCCCCAAACACTCTGCGCAGGTGCCATCAGGGCGGCCAGTGGGGGTCGAAGTGCCTTCGGCATCCGACATCCGGTGGCACCCATTTGGGAGTTTCCGAAAATCAGAAGTACCTTATTTTGGGTCCTTCTTATCAGGATCCTACTATTTAGGGTACTGCAGTAGGGTCACATATTTTCGGAAACTCCCATGTATTTCCCAAAGGTTTCCCAAGGTGTTCATCCGGCCCGCTTTCCCTGTGCCACAGGGCAATTCCCAGGCGCATTCAGGCCCTATAGAAAGCTTGGCCCCCTAAAGCGCTACACCTTCAACGCACCCAAAAACCTTGCTGTCGAAGGTGTTCGACTTGGAAGAAGCAGAACTGCACCACCAACACCAAAACGCACTGAAAGTTCATCCCTGAAGCGTATGACTTTGCGACCAACCATTTGCTGTAAACTGCTGTTAGCCCAAACCCTGAATCACATCAGCCCTGCTTGAAGGTTCATGGGTAGTTGCAAGTGGGGTCATAAGTCCCCTAAGGCAGGATATAGCTATAGTTATCGTACTTGTAAGCCCCACGTATAACTACCCATGGACCCCAAAGTATTCGAACCAAGTTACTAGGTGTCGATTTCAACAGTCCCCAAAATTATCCATGATTGGGGTTCTATATTAAACAGTAAGAGAATGTAAAAATTTTCCCAAATCGCTACCTAAATCAGGGCTGACAGGGATTGCGGAGGCCCAAGACGACGCAGAGGAGGCCAAGCACCTCCTACTAAACTAAACGGCTCCGGCTGCACAGAGCTGTGCCCGACCGTTTTGAGGTTTGGGTAAAAAGCTTTGGTCTGACTGGAGGTAAACAGGGCTTTGAACCTGATTTTGGGTTCTTGGGTTTGGGACTTGGGATGTGAGTAGGAGTCTGGGGCAAGCTCACCCTAAACTTAAACGTAAAAGATCTTGAACCGACAAACCGGCATAAATCAGCATACAAATGCACCCCTGATCATGAATCAACGTAGCCAAGCAAACACTTCTCATACTCAACCCTAAACCCCAAGCCCCCCTGAACCCTAAACCCTAAACCCCTGCAACCCTAAACCCCTATCCTTACAAGATCTCCCAGAAGCCAAAGGCTTGAATCCTGGCATTGCATAAATGGTGTTCCAAAAAGCATTCCAAGAGTGTTCCAAGAAAGTGCTGGGAATAGTGTTCCGGATTTCGATGGAATTCCAAAAAAACATTCCGGGGCAGCACCCTTGAATCTGAAAGCATTCCGAATGGGAGCACATGTTGAAACACTTTTCGGAACACTTTCTTGGCAGCAACTTATTGGCGGAATGTTTTTTCGGGAACGCTTTTTAGAGTGCTTCTTGGAATGCATTTGAGCCTCTCCTCTCTAGATCCAAGTCAGAAGTGTTCCAAAAAGCGTTCCAAAAACGTGCTCCAAAAAGTGTTCTGCAAAGTGCTCCGTCCGAATACTTTACGGAACACTTTTTGTGCCAAAGGGTACCCACGGAACACTTTTTGAACACATCCTGGAATACTGGTCAAACCTGCGTCGAAATCAGAATACTCTTCCTCAAGCTTTTCAGGAATGCTTTTGGAACGCCAAAGAATCCGATCTGCCCATCCCATGCTCTGGCTATCTGGATCTTGTAACCCTACAGTATCCCTAAACCCTAAACCCCTGCAACCCTCGACCCTCTTACCAGCTGGGCTCTCAGCTCCATGGCTCAAACCACTACTTGGAGGATCATGGGACTTAGTAAGTAGGGCTATAAGTACCCTAATTGGGGTTATAAGTAATTATAAGTATAGTTACCCTAATTATAACCCTAGTTACGAAGTCCCATGACCCTTTAAGTACGCTCACGCCCTTCGGGCTCAAGCACTTCGAGCAACGAAGTCAGGGTTGGGGGCTCAGAAAACTTACCACGGTTTAGAGTTTAGGGCTTTATAGGGTTTAGGGTTTAGGGTTTAGGGTTTAAGGCTTAGGGTTGAGGGTTTAGGGTTGAGAGTTTAGGGTTTAAGGCTTAGGATTTTTTTTGAGGGTTTAGGGCTTAGGGTTTAGGGCCTCTGCAGCCATGAACACTCCGAGCCCAAAACTTTAGGGCTCGGAGGGTTCATGCTTGCAAGTGGCGGACGTAGAGTTTGAGACTCAGGGTGCGATGTTGGATTTGCCTGTAGCCGAAAAGAACTACCCTTTTAAGGAACTATATGGAGAAACCATAATAAGGAACCCAAAAAAGGTAGGCCTTTCCGGCTACTTGTGGGATCTAGGAAGACGGGGGTCTTTCAGCCCAGAGTTTTGGGCGCAGGACGCGGGGATGTTACATCCTCTCCCATCCTCAGAAAACCCACCAATTTTTAGGGTTTAGGGTTTAGGGTTTAGGGTTTAGATTCCAAAACTAAATCAGCACGGCTGCCCTACTGAACACTGAATTGTTGAACCCTAAACATACAACATCTCGATTTGGGGGGTCCAGATGCCACAAGAACCTCTGCCTTTTACCAGCTAGAATAGATGCAAAATCCACCGGAAAACATGCGTTACACCCTACATCTTAAACCCGCGGGCACCAAACCCTAAATTTCGAAAAAAACACGCGCTTGGTGCAAACACTGACGCATGGGTATTTAGTCTGCATCCAATACCGTAAGCCTGTCACTGCAAGCTCTAATGCATTACTACACTACACACCTCACATCAACTTTGAAACACAGTGGCGCTTCAGCGTCCCCCAAGTTCTTTCCATTGCCTGGTCACTTCGTCCAACTTTGCCTCCGGGGGCTCAGGGCAGAAACTCGGCTGCGGGGTTCCGAGCTTGGGGTCTAGGGCTTTTGAGCATCGCAGCTGATGTCCGTGGGCGCATGCTGAGTTCCCTCACACACTTACACAATGCTGCATCTGCAACCTTAGGGAAGGTGGTGGCTCCCGCGAGCAGAGCTCTTGGGGCAAAGGGCGAAGGGTTGATCGTCAAGAGAGATGCTTCTCAACCCTGATGTACGTTTAGGGTTTAGGGTTTATCAACCTTCATAAGGACCCTTAGGGGGGTAGCCGAGAGGGGGTAGGGGGCCTTAATACGTATAACAAGGACTTCACCTAAAGCCCCGCCAACAATCAACCCAATCCAAACAGCCTGAATCCCAAGCCGAATAGCCGACACGTGCAAACATGCCTGTCAATGGCAAAACTGGAGCAAAGCCCGAGAAGCCCCGAGCCTGAAACTCTGCCCCCGGCAGCAAGAACCCAGGCTTAGGAATCATGGCTTAGGGCTTAAGGTCATCCCCAAGCACCTCGAACAAGGCTCGACGGTCCCGGACCACAGCACCTGAGGATCCAATTGCAGCAAATCAGAGCATTTTTTGGACCGTTCACAGGCTCGAAAAGCTGTGAGTTTTCGCATGTCTGACCCAACCTACGCCCCCCCTCCCCATCGCCCGCCTCTCCAAACTTTGCGAAACTCCAGGACCCACAAGACAAGAAATGGATCTCGAAGCCCGCAATCGTGAAGTGGCGAATCTTAAACATTTGAAATCGGCCCAAAACTCCAGGCGAAACCCTCATTGGGGCCATTGAGCCCCAAACGATCGAGAGGCTGGGGGGGTAGGGTTTAGGGTCTAAGGTTTAGGGTTTGCTAAGGGCACGACTGATCTTGGTCGCAAAGGCTGCTCTCAGAGCACACGCCGCTGACCGCACGGATTCCTGAAGTCCAGGGGACGCTCCACGGTTGATTGTAGTATAGGGGCCTTAATAACTAGAAGAGGCCTCCTTTTAAGGGTTCCTGAAAGGGTTCTATAGGGGTTACTATGCCGTCAGGTTTAACTATAGGGGCCTTAATAAGTAGAAGAGGGTTTTGGTGTAACAATGCTCTAACTAAAACAATCAAACCCTAAACCCTAAACCCTAAACCCTAAACCACAAGGAAACTCAAGATAGTATTGGTAACTATTTAGGCCCCTGCATTGGGAGTTCTTGCCTTAAGTTGCTTAGGCTTCACATGTTGTAGCATCTACAGGACTGGCAGGGCTTAGGGATTGTAGGTTGGGTACGGCCCCCATACAGTAAGAGTCTATAATAGGGCTACTATTAAGGGCCTTATATATCTATATTATGAACATTATCCAACTGTTACTGAGCGGGGGCCGTACCCAAATTGTAGGATAGGTTTTAGGGCATGTCCGGGGTTTAGGGCTCCTCGGTTATATGGGTCTGGGGAATAGGACCTGCGAATGGGGGGCGGGGGATGGTCTTAGCTGATGAACCTTGAACTGCCAAGCTGATATGGGAGTTTCCGAAAACTAGGGGTACTTTATTTTGGGGTCCTTATAATAAGGATCCTACTATTTAGGGTACTATATTAGGGTCCCTTATTTTCGGAAACTCCCATGTGTGCTTTTGAATTCTGTCCTTCCTGTTGAAGCATTTTCACAGGAGGGAAGTCAAACGAACCTGGCTCTGGGGCGACAGCCTTTTGTGGCTGCCACTGGCTTTCCACCCGCACGTCGTTTTTGTTGTCGAGCAGATTCCCAACAAATCTTCAGGAAAGCTAGGAGGGGAGTGGGGTGGGGGTCACATAAAGGATTACGCCAGCGTTCCCGTCCTATCTATCGGTTTGGGGAAGTCAACTTACCAGGAAATAGCTTGGCACATCTCCGTGCTCTCCAATGATTTGGTTAGCGGGGGTGAGAATGTTGCCCTTAACCCCGCGGTAGCTTCGAGCTTAGCATTCAAGGGAGGTTAATTAACCTAGGCCTGAGCTGATCCCGACTCTCAGGACCAATCTTGAACCCTTTTGCGAGCGCAAACAACAATGAATCCCCGAAAATCAATCCTCTACACCCCCTGAGGGCCTCCATCGTAGCTTTCTCCTCCTGAGTTGGTGGTTTTGGGTTCATACTGGTGCTGTGTGGGATTTTGGGGTTTAGGATTTAGGGTTTAGGGCTGTGTGGGATTTTGGGGGTTGGGTGCGTAAAGGGCTTCACAGCCTGGATTGCTTGGAGGTTCACGGGTAGGTATAAGTAGGGTATGTAGGGATCTATAAGGATTCGATAAGGGGGTGTAGGGTTTAGGGTTCATGGGTAGTTGAAAGTAGGATAACCATACGTATAACCCGTATTAGGGGACTTCTGTGCTTGTCCGCTTGCCTATCTGACTGTCTATCGGTCTGTCTATCTGCCTATATCTGACTATCTTCCTATCTATTTATCTGTTTATCTGCTTGTCTATCCGTCTGCCTGTCTGCCTATCGACTTGTCTACCTACCTATCTATCTGTCTGTCTGCCTATCTACCTATCTGCCTATCCATCTGTCTGTCTGCCTTTATGCCTGTCTGCCTGCCTCTCTGCCTTTCTGCCTATCTGTTTGTCTGCCTATCTATCTATCTAACCCGAATTATAGCTCCCTACTCCCTAAACCCTACAGAGCCTTAAAGAAACCCTTAAACGGAACCCTAAACCCTTATAACCCCAATTATAACTACCCATGAGCTCTAAACCGTATACCCATGTATAGCTACTCATGAACCTCCGAGTTCTCTGTCGGCTTCAAAGCTGTTGCTTCAGGGTTGAGGGTTACTGCTCTTAGGAATGATGTCTTATCTTTAACGAGGTTATATACTGAAAGTACTATATGCATTCTGTACAAAGGGGTGGCTATGGCTGTTTGGGCTGAGGGTTTATTGCTTCAGGATTGAGGCTGCGAAAGGCTTCGATGCGTTGAGTGCTTTGGTTGCTTTGGGGGGCTGTGGATCTAGGGTTTAGGGTTTAGGGGTTAAGGAGGATGTTCCGAATCAAAAAATACTCAACAAGAAAGGCTTTACAGGTAAGCTCTGTACTTGCAGCAGGTCTCACGCCGCAAAAAAGGAACTGCAAAACAGAGCTCGGCGCAGGCTTTTCGGCTTAAACCCTAGGGCATAATAGAGGGGGCTTAAAATTGGAATAGGGTTTTGGGGCCCATAATACTATACTTACATTAACCCCGAAAGTAGTAATGGTAATTATCTTGGGCTTGAAGGGGTGTAGAACCAACCTGGCGATCCTTGCTGCACACTCAATTCAGAGTCAAACCTGCCAATATCCCTAAATGAAGGCATATACCTCAAATCATACTAGAACTCCCGTTATCATTCTCGGTATACTCCCTGATTCAAGGCTTAGTTTTTATAAAGCCCCAAAAAGTGTATACCTTTAGTTTTATGGTGTGTAATAGTATCCCAAAAAGTGCAAAGTGTATCCATTCAGCTACTGAGGTATACTCCCTCATTCAGGGGATTTTGTAAGGTCTGGGAATCCAACAAAGCTGGCGACGCAAAACGAACTGCGGAGGTTGGGGCAAACGCAGAGCCACAAGCCTTATGGCGTTGGGTTATGGTTTAGGGTTTCGGGCTTAGGGTGTAGGGCTTAGGGCCCAAATCACTTTGGGGCTCAGGAACCTCAAGCCACCGAGATCCAATCCAAACCCCAGACCAAATTCCTGAACTCCGAATCACTCGAATCCTGCATTCCTTCAGCCGTGAAATCCTCACGGCGCAGCAACAGAGCCGTTTTGGCACGGCCTAAACCTCAAACCAAACACTCAAAAGCGCAAAGCCCCCAAGAAGAGAACAGTGGGGGTGTAGGGTTTAAGGGAAGAGACTACAGCCATCTCTTGTGAGAGGAAAGACTGTTTCGGGTGGCCAAACAGAAGGGACTAAGCTGTGAAGTGCAATTGGTGTCTTAAAGCAAAGCGGCAGCCGACATGATCTATGTGGTATGCACAAATGGATCGGTTCAGGAACGTGCCGTCCGTCGACTTTTGCTTTCTCGCACCTCAAAAAGAAAACAAACTATACTTTCAGTTTAACCGAATTGCATGAACACTTGCCAAGCCAATGTATGCTTGAAAGTTGCGCACAACTCAGATTTGTGGCCTCTGTCGAAAAGAGAGATTGGCTGTGAAGCTAGTTTTTTGTCAAGGCATTTTCTGACATACAACCAAACCAAATCCGTAGCTAGTTCTGTCCTCCGCCGCAGACTTCGACCCCTGCATCCAGGACAAATGTCGAATTTCCATACCGACCCCTCCATGAGCCGATGAGAACTTTTGTTGGCAAGTAATTCGGGTAGGTATGCACCTGGCATGCTGAGCACGGGGATCTTCTGGTAGCTCCATCAAAAGACCCCCAGAGACAAAAAGATACCCTAAAGGCCTGAGAAGACATCTCAAACAGCCAAGACTCCGCACTCACCTTGGGCTCAGCCTGGGAAGACAATCTTAGGGCATTCTCCATGTAAGCCAAACTCAGAGCATCGCCTGCAGCTTAAGCAAGAGATGCTGAAAGACTAAACTGCAAGACTAGCTTCACACCCCACATCCTGAATGCCATTTCTGCTCACCAACTGAGACATGAACTCCAGACTAGGTCCTAACTGCACTAAACCCTCAAACTGCGACTCTCCGCGCCTGCGCCAATGTCTGGAGAACTTCGGGGACATCCGACCAGCGTTTGTGCCAGTTCTCCCAAGCTTGCCGATGCTCCTGGAGATCCGAAATCCTGAAATTGACACCCGTAAGCCGAGATTAACACAACAATCCTGACTTTTATTGAAGTTCGAGTGTCAGAGCTCTCACTCTTGCAATCACCCTGAAAGCCCAAAGCTCTAAACACTAAACCCCAATGGCCCAAAGCTGCAAGCCCAGCTGATCCCAAATTTGTGAGGTCCTCGTTGAATCCCCCAGCAGCTTGGATTGCATCATCTGCCTTGAGTGCAGCGGGCCCGCGTCTTTAGGGAAATTTACAGGGGTTTCCGAAAATAGGGAACCTAACAAAGTACTCTAAATGTAATTTTCGGAAACTCCCTTATGGATTTCGGAGGTACTCTTTTGGGGTTCGTCGCCTTAGAGCAAGGCACAGGCACAGGTAAGTTCGTTGCTGCGGTGTCGCCAAAATCACGCATTTTGATGTAAACTTTCTCCCCTTATACAACCCCAGCTTTGCCACACATTTTACCACAAGATATTTTACAATGAACGAAAAATGAAATTGGTTGTCATGCAGTTACTGAATGAGTAATCTAAAGCATTCACAATCTAACTGCTTCCTTTCTTTTTCACTTTTACCATCTTCGTGTGCTTGTTCCTTAATGCATGTTTCCTCCTTCCATTGTTCTAAAGTAATGTTATGCCGTTGCAACGTGATGTTTTTTTACCAACTGCACCATGTTGATTGGATAACTGCATACATCACAGGTACATCTCTGTTCGGTTTCGTTCCTTTTGTTGCATACATGTCTTGCTTATTCTCCGCGTAATAATTCTGCCGTTTCTCTTTCGTCATGTGATCAGCACGTTCTGGTACCATACTTTCTTCTGTTCCCTTTTTCTTGCATCCTGCAATATTCCTCTTTTGTCTCGACAGCCAAGTCATTCCAACGCACGGAAAAGAAGATGCGTGATCTTGGGCAAACCCCACGGGTCGAACTGCCGTGAACTCTGAGACCGCCTCAAGCGTTTAGGGTTTAGGGTTTAAGGTTTAGGGTTCAGGGTTTACGATTTAGGGTTTAGGGTTTAAGGTTTAACACAATCCCAATAATAACTCTAAACCCTTTAAGCCCCGAAACCGGGCACCTCCTCCACAGAGCGGCGCTGCTGCTGCGGAAATCCGGGCACAAGCTCAGCCAAGGAGAGGACATGGTCCACGAAGGCTTCCTCCCAACCTTCGGATTCAGGGTTTAGGGTTTAGGGTTTAGGGTTTAGGGTTCAGGGTTTAGGGTTTAGGGTTTAGGGTTTAGGGGTTTAGGGTTTAGGGTTTAGGGGTTTAGGGGTTTAGGGTTTAGGCATTGCTTTTTTGCTTGCATGGGGGGGGGGCTTAGGGGATTTAGGCATGTAGGGTCTACAGGGTGTACCCAGACCTTCCAAAACCCCTTGTTTAAGGAATGTACCTTAAATCATATCAGGGATCCTATATCCCATTATAATTCAACGTATATTCCTTAACTAAGTGAATTTTGGAAGGTCTGGATAGGAGCTAGGATTCGAGGGCAAACGGCATGCGCGTCATGTGCAGGGAAGTGCTCTATACACAAAGTGGCTGCCTTCAACTCAGTCCATACGGTTTAGGGTTGAAGGATGCGTAAGGAACCAAACACAACAACAAAACACACAGCAGACAGTTTCGGTAGTGCTGCAACTGACTGGTACATTGGAAAATGCAGAGTCGGCACTGTTTTTGTTAGCAGTCCCAGGATATATGAGAATATATATATATATACACACATGTATATATATATATACATATATACATATACATATACATATACATATACATATACATATACATATACATATACATATACATATATGTATATAGAAATAATGTGTGTGTATATATATATATATATGTAACACGTCTGTCCATGCACACCTGCGAAAAAAATAGATATTTGGCTATGTACTTCATGCCCGGGCTTTTGACTACCGTAGGTCCCAAACTTGAACTTAACCCCAAGCCCTACATCTAGAATCTAGGCTGCAGACGCATGCTGCTTCACAGCCGAAACCCCAAAAGCTCAGGCAATCAATCCTGAACTACGGTGACAGTGCTGTTTCAGGAAACGTTGTTTTCAGAAGCGAGGCCCCTTGGCCGGCCGGTTGTCCTTCAGACAAACGATACAAACAGGTAGAACGACTTAAGAATTCGAGGAATTCGAGGGGGTACCCTCATCCGGGGGCCCATACTTTCTTCGTTTCGGTGGTTTCGCATGCCCTCCAGGATTTAGAGGCTGCTTTAAGGCTTATGGGCTGACGCCCGGAAATCAGAAACGGAGGGGCTTTATTTCGTAATTCTAGTGAGGACATCGAAGATCTGAACTTCTTGTTTGAGGAGTATTGACCTCCAAAGAAGGAGATTCAGGGGCTGGATTTCTTGAATGTGCGAAATTTGCTGTTTTTTTTTTTTTGGTGGGGGGGGGGGGGGTTTAGGGCTTTCCTTTTTTATATAAGAGGGGGAAGGAGTGAGGGGGGAGTAATTGAGCTTGGGACCTGCAGATTCAGAGGCGCGTGCAATGTCCACAAGGCCAAAAGAAGTTTGGAGGGCTGGATGTTGGGTACGGCCCCCACACAGTGATAGGTGAAGAATATCATAGTATAGATATAGTAGGACCTTAATAGTAGCCCTAGTATAGACTCTTACTGCGGGGGCCGTACCTAAGCTGGATGTCTTGCTTGAAGGGACCCCCGGTCAAAATTCAAAATAATTCAAAAATCCACGCTTCAAAAAAAACAAAACCCTAAAGTTTCCTAAACGTAAGGCGCTTCCTCCAGAGCGAAACTTTCCGTAAAAAAACCTGAGGGGCTTGATTTATTACTCGGGGAGCGGGCCTTAGTTTGTTGAATTTAAGAACTCCAGCATCCAAAATGTCTCAATTTATGAGCCCTTCCACCCCCTCCAACAAGAAATCCAGTCCCTCAACTTCTTATTTCGGGGTCCCGCCCGGCCCGCCCAATGTCTTAGATTCTTCTCGGCCCTGCGGAGTAGCACTCCTCGATGCCCACTAAAATGAAGAAGCAATCATGAAATACGGTTGATGATACAAACCCGTAAGGAATATACCATAATTCCCATAGCTTAGGGTCCTTAAGGTAATGCAGGATTTATATCATCAACAGTACGGGTGGTATTACATCTTGAGAAATAATTAACCCTACAGCGGCTTTATAATCAAGAAGTCCCCTCAGTGAAAAATAGAGCTTTCTTATCCAGTGCCGTCACTCTAGTTTAGGTTTCAGGGTTAGGGAAGTCTTGAACGGTCCTAAACCTGTAACTACTTTCCCTAAACCCAACTGAAGCAGAAACCGCATTGACCCATTCGTTGACTGTCACTGCATCCGAGGCTCCCTTCTCCACCGCTTTACGAAAGGCTTCGCAGATCTCTTGCTGTCGGTGCGTGAGGCGGCGCTGATGTCCATCCATACGATCCATCTTAGCCTGCAGCGCGCAATCCTAGCGAGAAACTTAAAACCTGGTGCCCTAGATAGAAGCCTAAACCCTGAGCCCAAGAAGACCCCAAACAGCCGAAGCGTATTGGTTTATGACTTTTGTGTTTCGTTTCAAGTCTGAGGTCCTCAACCCGCGGAAGCCAGCCCTCACGAGGGCATGCCAGCTTCAGGGGCATAAGATGATACCGGTTACCACAATTTTTGGGTCCTACGGGGCGCAACACTAGAACGCTAAGCCCCACTCTTCAACCCCAAATCCCCCAAACCTTCCATTACTATTACTATTACTATTACTATTACTATTACTGTTACTATTACTACTACTATTACTATTACTATTACTATTACTATTACTATTACTATTACTATTACTATTACTATTACTATTACTATTACTATTACTATTACTTTTACTATTACTATTACTATTACTATTACTATTACTATTACTATTACTATTACTATTACTATTAATATTACTATTATTACTACTATTACTATTACTATTACTATTACTATTACTATTACTATTACTATTACTATTACTATTACTATTACTACTACTATTACTATTACTATTACTATTACTATTACTATTACTATTACTATTACTATTACTATTACTATTACTATTACTATTCCTATTGCTATTACTATCACTATTACTATTACGATTACTATTACTATTACTATTACTATTACTATTACTATTACTATTACTATTACTATTACTATTACTATTACTATTACTATTACTATTACTACTACTATTACCACTACTATTACTAGTACTATTACTATTCTGTAGTACAGCCCTGAAGCACCCAAGCTGCCCGAAGCTGAAGATCCTCAAGCCGATAGCCCTTCACCAAGGAGAGGACACCACAGAGGTCTTGTTGGGTTTAGGGTTAGGGTTTAGGGCTTAGGGACATGATTGTGAAGGCATTAAATGCTGTGGATGTGAGCCACTGAGGGTTTAGTTTTGTACGAACACAGATTTCAGGAGTTGGGGTCAAGGGGTTCCGGTGCAGGGTTGTGGCGTCAAGCTCTCATCGGTTTCTGGAAATGACCGCTCAATCATACTTCAACCCAAACCCCTCAAGACCATGATCATGCCATAAATGAATTTCAAAATTCCATCGAGAGCTTTCAATCCCACGAAATCCGAACAAGACATGTTGAGCCCGCAAACCCAACGTATTCTGAGTGGGTTTTGAGTAGTTTAAGAGTTCTTGCGTTTAGGATGATTGGACTCGCCCCGGAGCCCAGAACCTTGTTGTGGACATGAAATTGAGGGGGCATAATATTAGGTAACCCCGTAGGGCGGGTCATGCATGATCGCACGACACCAGCCCAAGAGCTGAAGGTGAATGACTTCATAGCACTGGACAAGCAACAACAGAACCACAGAAGCAGCAACATCTTTAAACCATAGAAGAAGCCTTGAACTTTGAAGTGTAACGACCTGCTGCAGGCCGGCCTGGATGTCCCTTCTGGTTGCTTCCACTTGTTGCCGGTACTGGCAGATGGCGACGGTTTTGATTCTGGTTGGCTTTAGCAGCGAACATGCAAGCCCCTGGGCCGGTATAAATTAGAAGCTGCCCCCACCCTGTAATAGTGACTATAAGGATTATATTAGGGCCCTGCTATATTCCTATTATACCACTATTAAGGTATAATCCCCAAACAGCAGGACAAAAAATAATCAGGGCTTTTGAAAGAACTCCGACTGCCACGGAGTTTTCCAAACCACCATCCCCACTTCTTCCCATCATCCATTGGATGGCCCCAGGAACCCTTGTTTCTGGCAGCTTCATGTGTCTGGCATGTGGTAGTCAACCAAAAGTTCGTAGTCGATAGATACCCGTTACGCAAACCTTTCAGTCTTTCAGTTTCAAGGACCCGGTTTCTCACATGCTTTTCTAGGGCCCCAAAAAAGCACATAAGCAAAAATCAGGGTAGGGATATCCCATATAAACCCCCTTTAAAAGGAAGGCCAATAGGGTAGGCATATCCCCATAAAATGCTTATGCGTGTGTGCTATTGGGTCCCTAATTATCCCTAGACCCTCTTGCTGTCACGCCGATGGGCGATAAAGCACTGGCCCGATCTGTAAACCCGAAACTCCTGAATTCCGCTCTGGGGTTTAGGGTTTAGGGTTTACGGTTTAGGGTTTAGGGTCTAGGGCTTGGGGGTTTTCACGGCCAGTGGTCAGGCCTGAATCTTGGATCCTCAACTCTACGTATCGTTTGGATTCAGATGGTCACTTGCAGGTTCATGGGTTGTAAGTGGGGGTATAAGTTCCTTGATACTATAGGTTATAACTCTAGTTATCCTAGACATAACCCTAGGTATAACCACGCTTGAAACTCCAAGCAGCCGTGGGCATTTACTCACCAGTGTCTGTTGTGTGTCTCTGAAGGCGCAAGGAATCAATCCACCAAAATCTCAGGCCCTAGACCCTAAATCCTGATCTCTACTGCAAGCCTACGTCATGCTGCACGCCACTGCAGGTTCTCCTCCTCAACCCGGATCTTCCAATACCCCTTACTTTAGGACTACACCTGAAATTATCGTAAAATCCATCATATGATGTCAACTATGCTCCTTAATTCAGGGATATAGGAGGTTCTGGGAACCCCACAGTGTCTTTGAGCGGGCCAGGTGCCCAGCAATCCGAGCCTCCCTCCAGAACCCGAAAAACACAAACCCTGCGGAGGGCGCTCAGGGTAGACTTGGCATTCTCAGAGAGCCCAATACCCCTTAATTAAGGAATATGGCTTGAATCATTAGGGGCTTCATATTATGGTTTAAGCTATATTCCTTAATTAAGGGATATTGGGCTCTCTGGGTTTTAAACTGTGTAAAAATTGAACCTGAAGCTTCCAAGTCCAATATGAAAGCCGGAATGTTGAAATGACCCGACATGCGAAATCCTGAATCTCAACCCCCTTGATCTTCAGGGCTTTATCGCAATCAGCCAGCCGCCTTGCACTGTTGTTCCCACTCCGTCTTTAGTCTTCGGCCTTCCATCTCCATCTTGCCTTCATACTGTTCCTTGAGCCTTTGAGTGGGTCGTGCTTCACGTTTCGGCTTTAGGGCCCAGGGTGTTGGAGCTCTTCGTAGGGAATTGAGCTGAGGGTTTGCATTCGAGGGTTGGAGTTTGGGTACGCACATACATTCACCAAAAATGGGGCTTGAAGGGACGGGAAGGCGTGCGAATGTTCTGGGTCTGAGTCTAGGGCTAAACTTGACGCGCCTTGGTGGCTTCAGGCTTGGGGTTTCTTAACTTGCCTCAATTTGACATGGAAGGTCTTGTTTGCAATCTTGTGGCTGTCTAGTCTTGGAAAATGAAGCCCTGAATGCTAAACCGAAGCAGGCATACAATGATGGGAGGCCAAAAGGGGGGTTTAAGATTCTTGGGGTAGGGCTTCCTTAATATAAAACCTATTTTGGGAACCCTAAGCCCTACTAAACCCCCATAGGCTAAAACCCCTTTCCGCCTCCTATGATACAAGAGCCACACCGACATCTCCAGACCTGGATGCGCAAGCCGCGTAAGCCCTCTGAGCCAACCTACAAATGAGAGACGAGAAGCCCTCGATACTTCTGCAGCTCACTCTGGTAGTGCTTGTCTCCGTTCTCCGCCTTCTCTTGCTCTGTATGAAGGCAGAATTTCTCCTGAGTTTGGATCGCCGGGGCTTTTGGGCTTCAGTTGATAGCGTTGCTGGTGGTCGAAATCTCAGAGTCCGTACTGTTTAGTGTGTGACGTAGAGCTTCATCTGGGTTTATGCGTTGGGCGAAACTTAAGAGTCAGGGAATGCGCTTAACTGAGCGGAGTTTGGGGCGGTGTATCTCAGGCTTTGGCCCTGAACTCCAGACGGTAATAAACAGTAAGTGGTTTAGGGTTTAGGGTTTAGGGGTTGCCAGTGGCGAGCCCTCACCCCCTATGCGCCCTAAGTGCCTGCAAGCCCAGCGGCAGATGTGGTCTTCGTGAACATCGGCTCCGCCTCAATGGCTGCACCCACCTTGCTGGCCACCTCCTGACAACCCGCCAAGCCCTGCTTGGAGGTTCATGGGTAGTTATAAGTAGGGCTACAAGTAAGAAAACTATAGTTGTAACACATTTTGGGGGACTTAGAACCTTACTTATAACTACCCAAGAACCTCCAAGTGGGGTGCTTCAATTCCCAGTTCCTCAGCCCAAACACTAGACCCATGTTGAATGCTACCAGCTGCATGAGACGTGTGGCTGACAGAAGTGCTGTGCAAGGTCGGCTGACAGCGGCGCAGCGCAAGAAAAGTTAGCAGCAATGCAACGCAAGATCAACAAACCCTAAACCCTAAACCGAATGAAAATTGTAGTGCACCACGGGTTGATGGACCAGCTTTGACGAGTGACTCGTGTACAACCAGGCCAGTCTGTTGTTTTTAACCGGCCGTGCAACGACAACCCCCCAAACCCAACCCTAAACTAAACCCCGTGTCGAAACCCCGAATCACCTGACAACAAAGGACCTCCATGGCACCAATACCTGCAAAACACAAACACACACACACACACACACACACACACGCTGCCATTCTCGAACTTGCAACCAACTAACAAACCCAATCCTACTGCACATGCCGAAAACTCTAAACCCTAAACCACAGATCCGAAACTGTGAATCCATCTCCTCCAGATTCTCCGGCTTTTTCCCACCGTGCTCCTGGAAGAGGGCGCAACCGCAGTTGTGAATATGGGCTGGTGATTTTCCAGAGAGCCCAATACCCCTTAATTAAGAAAAATGGTTTAAATCATATAGGGCTTCATATTATGATTGAAGCTATATTCCTTAATTAGGGGTATTGGGCTCTCTGGGTTGGGGTTCAAAGTATTCTATACTGAACTTAGAACCCTAGCAAGAATCCTAATTTTGGCTGTTTCTTAGGGATTATAATAACCAAAAATGAAACATTTTTTCTAAGTACCCCTGAGTGAACTTATAGATCCCTTGATAGGAACCCCTATAGATCCCTTTAAAGGAACCCTAGGGATCCCTGTATTTCAAAATACCCCCTAAGTATTTAGGGTTCAGGCCGAGAGGCCGAACTTGGAGGGTCGGGGGACTTCGTAACCATAAGGGGTTCCTTAAGGGCCCCTTTAAAGGGATCTATAGGGATTCTATAAGGGTATAGGGTTTAGGGTTTAGGGGGACTTAGTAACTGGTTGTTTTAGGGACTTATAAGTACCATAACCCCAATGAGGGTCCCTTTCAGGGTACTTATAAGTCTACTTACTACCTACTTACTAAGTCCCCCGACCCTCCAAGTACACTCACATCCAAACTCGCCCTGCCCCTAACTCCAAAGCGGCTTAGGGTTTTAGGGTTTGGGGTTTAGGGCTTTAGGGTTTAGGGTTTAGGGTTTGGGGTTTAGGGCGTCTCGCCGCGCAGCGGCAGTATTTTCTATGTAGGATGGCGCCCCAACACTCCCAGGGGTGTGGGGGGGCGGCATATCGACGTCTAGCGTTCGAAGGCGATTCCACCACTAAACAATTACACATTGGTTCCTCACCTTTTCCCACCCGCTGTGAGAAGACACAGGCTACCACCCAAAACATTGCCTTTTAGGGTTTAGCGCTTACGCCCTCAATTCCCACCTGCCCCTGGTCTGTCTGTTGGGGCCAGGAAGCACCTACACACGCCACAGAACAGAGCGGCTCAGGAGGGTGAGGGGCCAGGGCCGGGGCCAGGAGGCGGCGGGGGGGGGCCTGGGGGTGCCAGGCCGGGCCGGAGGTCGGGGGTGGCCAAGCAAGACTCAACCGAGACGCAGGTCTCCTAGGACCTGCCTGGAGCCCCCCGGGTCCCTGGAATCTGCCAGCTGGGCAGCCCCCTGGGCCGGCTTGGGGCCAAGGGCTTTGGTCGTCGGGTGAGATTCAGTAAATTCCCTCTGCGAATATGGGCGCCACGCAAGGGGCCTAATGGCTTGGCTCAGCCGTAGGGGCTGAATTCGACCACTCTCCGATGGCTCCACCCATTGTCCATCCAGAGTTGGTGTCAATCACTGCCGGGTTTCCTTCTGGGTCCAGGCACCCTACGGGTAAGAAAAAGGGTGGGTACGGCCTAAGCAGGCCTGGGTGGGAATTTAGGGGTTTAGGGGTTTAGGGTTTTAGGGTTTGGGGTTTAGGGGTTTAGGGTTTAGGGTTTTAGGGTTTTTGGGTTTAGGGGTTTAGGGTTTAGGGTTTAGGGTACTCATGAGTTGCTTGGCTCCTGGAGGAAGCCGTTGACGAGTTCGATCATGTTCTTCTGAACGTACTTGCTGCGGGTTTTGCCCACGTGCGATCCTCGAGGCATTGACCAACCCTACCAAGGGCACCAGCGGATCGGCCAACGTTAGGAAAAACAAATCGGGGCCCCGGAGACTGCAACCCAGCAACACAAAAGGCTTAGGCCGCAGTCCGTGCAGGCTTGGTATGTTCAGGGTCGCTGCTTGTCCTTTGACATGCATCTATTATACCTCAAGCGCTTGATTCTTTGGGCCATCTCTGAATTTTCCAAGGCGCTGAAGACGCCTTCCGAGTACCCCAACGGTGCAAGTATGTTCCTGGGTGACTGTCAGTGCACTTCCGGTCATCAATCTTCTATATGGGAGTTTCCGAAAATAGGGGACCCTAATACAGTACCTTAAATGGTAGGATCCTCATTCATATGTCTTCGGGCTTAGAGGCTTTGCTTTAGGCCCTTAGTTTACAACAGTAACGACAGTAACTAACACGCAGTACCGCAATGACCCAGGTTCGTGACCGAAGTTATGTTGAGCTGGTGGCTGCCGCCCCCACATCGGCAAAGCAACTCGTCTGCGCCCTGGCCGACAACCGACCAGCCATAGTTTGCCGGACAGTCCTTTGCTCATGGGCCCGAACTTCCAGAATGTAGGAACCTGATTAAGAAACCCCTGGCCTAGAACCCCAAAATAGTAGGATTCATGAAAGGTACCCTAGTAAAGACCTAGGGTTTCTTAATCAGGTTCCTATATAAGCCAAACATACGTAACACCCCCAACCCAGCAAAAAAGAGCCGTAAACTACCTAGAGCCCCTATGTCAACCCTTTTTATGCGGTAGCCCATGCCTCGAAGATTCCCTGACAACCCTAAGTCCATCGGTTTTGGGTTTAGGGTTTAGAGTTTAGGGTTTAGGGGTTTAGGTGTTAGGGGTTTAGGGTTTAGGGTTTTGGTGTCAGAGACAGAGCCTCAAGCCCAAACCATAAAACCTGCCGTCCTCCTTCCTCCAAACTCGGAAATAAGCTACTGTAGGGGCCTAGATAAGGAAAACTAGACTAGGGTTGTGAGGTCTATTATGGCTTCTAATTAAAAACAATAATGAACCCTATATAAGGAATAATGTTGGTAATGATTTAGGCCTCGGAAGAGGCTCCGGAGCTTCAGCGGCTTCGGGGTAGGGGGTGTAAAGGTGTGGTCGACCTGGGGGTTGTCAAAATTAGGGTCTCTTTTTTCGGGTCCCTATTTTTTATACGGCACCGAATATTTAGGGTACCCAAAAAGGACCGTAATTATGACAACCACCCATATGAGATCAGACAAACAGTTTGAGGCTGAGGGAGCTGAGGGCCCCGGGATCCTCCTTGGAGGATCCTGGGACTCAGGGTTTAGGGTTCCTTTAAAAGGGATCTATAAGGGTTCCTATAATGGGATCCATAAGGGTTTAGGGTCTACTTGGAGGATCATGGGACTTAGTAAGTAAGGTTATAGGTACCTTAATTGGGGTCATGACCCGTTAAGTATTCTAGACCCAAGAGTAACCTAGGAATAAAAAGAGTGCCCTTTTTGGTTTGAAGCGGCTTATAAGGGGACCTGAGCCCTAAAAGAAAGGAATACGGGCCTACTTACTCTAGGTCCTAGTATTCATGGTGGAGCTCAAAACAGACACTTTCCCAGACTCAAAGCACGTACCATGCTATACTGCCATAGGGTTGCTTGTGGATGTCTCCTGCTCACGTTTTGGGCTTGGATTTAAATTAGAAGGGGCGAATTATCGTACCTATCTCTGAACGATGGAAGAGCTGCTAACCTCGCCAGCGCCCAGCGTATCAGGAGCTCGTTCTCTGAAAACGTCGGCCTCTTCATTGGGGTCGGGGTGCCTCTACTGTTTGGTTTGGCAGGGGCCTCACTCACTCCCCTATCCAGTTCCGTTACTTCGTGCTCTTTACACAGGTTTTTGAGTGAGCTAGAGAACGAGAAAACCGGTTCATGAAGGTACAGTAAGAAGCACGACGAGTAAACGAAAAGGAGCTGCTAGTGATCAAGAGACAGGATGTACTCGGAAGCAACTCAAGACAGCATGAGGGGTCATCTACCGGAACTGGACGACCGTTATCATGATTGCTCTCTTTTCCCCGCTAACTGCCAAGGTTGAGGAAGGAAAGTCTCATGCGAGGGAACGAACCTGGTTCGAGTTGATGATGCAAGGTTTAGGATTGCTACTGGGACAATCCCTGAAACCCTAAACCCCAAAACCCTACTTTTCAGGGTTTAGAGTTCGGTGAGCGCCGGTGGCCACTTGAAGGATAAGGGTTATAAGTTATAAGTCCCCCTAATATGGGTTATAACTATAGATATCCTACTTAGTACCCTGCTTATAACTACCCATGAATCCTAAAGCCTCTGCCCTTATAGAATCCCTATAGATCCCTTTAAAGGAACCCTTAAAGCTATCCATGAAACTCCTAGCAGCCTCTGCGGACCCTGCGGCGCGGCACCCAGACTTGGCTCGCGAGGCGCCGGCGGCACTTCCTTTGCTGTCCGACAACCCTGAACCCTACTTGGAGGGTCGAGGGACTTAGAGGGTTTAGGGTTTAGGAGTTTAGGGCTTTAGGCTTTAGGGGTTTAGGGGTCTTCCAAAGGGGAAAAGGAGGGACCCTTAATGGGAACCTAAACCTTGGGTACGGCCCCCATACAGTAAGAGTCTATAATAGGGCTGCTATTAAGGTCCTATTATATCTATATTATGAATACTATTGAACTGTTACTGAGTAAGTAGTTCTTATATAGACTTATAAGCACCCTAACAGGGACCCTAATTGGGGTTATGGTACTTATGACTCTATAAAATAACTACTTACTAAGTCCCCTGACCCTCCAAGTAAACCTTAAACCCTCAACTGGACCCTAAACCTTTAAGCCCTATACCCTAAACCCAAAACCTATATAAACCCTAAAGCTTATACCGTAAACCCTAACCCCAAAGCCATGAATGGACCCCGAAGCCTGAAGCAATCGGAACAGCCCCAGATCATTGAAGCCCCTAGTAAACCCTAAGCCCTAAACAGCCCTAAAGCCCCCAAAAACCTCAAACTGAAGCATTCCCCAAAAAAAGACCTAAACCTTAAACCCTAAACGACTCAACCCTAAACCCCTAAAGATAAAAAGGACTCATCAAAAGGCCCCGAGCATCTGGAAGGTCCGGAAGCGGAATGGGATCCTCGGGATTGGCAAAAAGCAGAAGGCAGAAGAAGATAGAGAAGAAAGGTTCTTAAGGCTTATTAAGAGCAATAGGAAGACATGATAGCAATAGCAATCGTAATAGAAAAAAGTTGTTATATGTTATTATACTAGTGAGAATCGTAATCGAGGTTCAAGAGTTTGAGAGAGCCTGGCTGTGAGGGCTCAGCAAGGGCTGAAGCCAACACGCACAACCAACTACCCATCTTGACCTTCCTGAGCCTAAAACCAAATCCTCAAGCAATACAACAGCCTTACCTGAACAAAACCCTAGGCCCCTAGACTCCGTCCGGCCCCTGTACCTCAAAAGCCCAAGCATCAAACTCCAGGGGCTCGACACAAAGCTCCTCAAGCTTGGTGGGCATCTCCACCTGTATCTTGAGGACCTGGGAGCTGGGCTGTTCCGATTGAGGAGTCTTAGGGCTAAGAGAGTAGGAGTTAGGCTTAGAGCTGTTAGGGTGTAGGGGTCCCTCAGGCCTACTTGGAGGTTCATGGCAGTTATGATTAGGGTTAGTCCCCTAATATGGGTCATAAGTATGGTTATCCTACTCCTAACCCTACTTATAACTACCCATGAACTCTAAACTCTATACCCACATCGAATCCCCATAGATCCCTTTAACGGAACCCTTATCTCCAAGTACCCCAAACTCCTGAATGTCCTGCTTGGCTTGGACACGACTGCAGACATGCTTGGAGGTTCATGGGTAGTTATAAGTGGGGTTATTACTCCCCTAATATGGGTTATAACCATAGTTATCCTACTTATAACCCCACTTCTAACTACCCATGAACCCTAAACCCTCTACCCTCATAGAATCCCTATAGATCCCTTTAAAGGACCCCTATGAACCCCACTTACAATTACCCATGAACCCTAAACCATATACCCTATCGAATCCCTATAGCTCCCTTTAAAGGAACCCTTACCCATGAACCTCCCCTATAGAACCCTTATAGAGACCTTATAGATCCCTTAAAGGACCCCTATAAACCCCATTTATAACTACCCCTGAACCTCCAAATGGCAGGTCGGAAGCAAAGCCTTGGATTCCCCAACCCCCGAAAAAGAACCTGAAAGCCTCGAAAAGCGGGGGGCTGTTCGGGATCCGCAGAACAGAAGGGTTTAGGGTTTAGGAATTAGGGTTTAGGGTTGGTATCTGGAACGTGCCAAAGATGATGCCTTGAAGGCGTGGTTGCAACCCTCATTCCTCAAAGCAGCCCCAGAGCATACTCGTAGGCATCGCAGGTGCACTAAATATTCGCCCTCCGAATACTTTGAGTGAGATCTATATCTATATCTATGTGTATATATGTATATATATATATATATGTGTGTGTAGGCCCTCCAACTGCTTTGAGTGAGGACATCGTCTGGGAAGTGCACCACCCTCAGCCACAATATGCCACAAGCCATCCTTGCAAACCTGTTGTAAGTCCTGTCAGGCCATAAATAAAGACCAGAACCCGTGAAACACGACAACGGGACTTGAATGGCTAAGGCGTTTTACATGCACTAGCCCCCTTAAAATGGCTAAGGTTTAGGCTTTGCGGGTTTAGGACTTCGGGTCCAGCATCGGAATTAGGGTTGAGAGCTTTGGAATTGGAGTGGGCGTTTAAACACCTACGGTACTTACTGGCTCGCTCAGGGGGAAAACAGGCCAGCCTCTCCAAGGATAATGATGCAACCTGTTCACCCCATCAGAAATCTTCCTGCACCAAACCCATAAACCCCTACATTAGCACCCCTGAACCTCCAGCCTTAATCTCTCGACCCTGATACGTGAGACACAAGACGTCAACACTTTGCAGAGCCGGACACTTCTGGCGGGACTGGATGTGCCCGTGCAGGCGGAGGCCCAATGGTCAACTTGGTGCACGAAGCTCTAAACCACACGCTCTGCCCCGGAAGTCATTCCTGAACTTTCCTGACAATTCAAGCCTCAAGCCCTGAATCCCATGTCCTGTGTTCTGCATGAAGCTTGAAAACACAACTGTAGCTGCGAATGTGGTCAGTCCTGGAAACCCAACAATCGAACTCTACACCCAACAGAACCAACCAACAGGTCTGGCCTCGCAACTTGCACAGTTCATGGCATGCTCGTTCAAGTTGCACAATCTGTTGAAAAGCACTGACATGACCAGACCAACCACACTTGCAGATGGAGAGCAGTGCGCCAAACACCGGCCCTCACCTAACAAGCTTCGACCACCACTGAGCGGTGAAAGACCTGCTCCTGTACTACTCCCGTCCCCTGCTGTGTCCGTGCAAGTTGGATAATGAAGAAAACATCCATGGACTCTGCTGTGCATAGGCATTCC